CTTGTTTACATTTGTTGCATTTGTCTTTTTGGCAGATTCCTGTCCTTTTGTCAACTTGCTTTGCCAATCGCAAGGGACTTGTTTGTTGTCAATCGCAGGAGAATGCTGCTCTGCCTGATACTAAAAAAAGCTTTGCAGGGCAATTTGTTTTGCAAATGGTGCTCTTTGAAGTGGCTGAGGTGGTTCAAGTTGGTTCTCTCAATTTTTTTCTCTTGACTCTTGACATGAAACTAGTCATTAACTTTCTAATCAACAGGTTGTAAGTACCATGTTCGTATGTTTTTGTAGTCACTAGGTGGTCAAGTCCAGTTTCTGCTTCGAAAAGTCCCTCAAGGTTTTGGCACATGTGCGACGGCAAGTCGATGATCTGTATGAATCAATGGAAACAAAAATCAGAGAATGACGAAGATGCCAGCAGGTTTTCTTCGGCACAGGGACAACTTTGGCAACCAAATAAAAATGCAGTTATATTCCATATTACTGAAACTACTAAATAGCAGGACAAATTAAGCACCTTCTCAGGAACATGCAACTCAAACATTGACTTCCATTTCAGTCCCAAACTCTGCACTGTGGCTCCCGACTGCAGGTCTCGCAGTTCGTTACTATAAGCTCTCAATTTGATTTCTTTGCCATTCAGACCTTCAGGGAATCTGGTCTCGCGTGGTTGGGGCCTTTATCTCAAAATGTGTGGTAGACCCAGTAACAAACCCATCAAACCCGAAGTGGGGACACGTTCTTTGAGATAGAAAAAACATGAGAAAATTGGACATGGTATGGCTGGTCTGGTTTATTCTACAGAAACCTATAGTATAATTTGGGTTCACTGGTGTATCGGGCACCACGTTGCAAGAAATCAGCAACCAGCTGAGCTGCTGCGCCAAGCCTGAAACTTGCCTGAGGGCAGCAGATGCTGCTTCTGAGAGCTTCCATTCATACATTGTACCTCGGTTGAAAATGCAACCCTCGCCCGCACCACCATCCATGATCTCAAAGCATGCAACAATCGTGCAACAACCCAGCACAGCGTGAGCTGTGCATGTGTCCTTTTCAATGGAGAATACGTCCCATTTGAGTTTTTTTGTCAGCATCTGATGATCCCTATGGGTATGTATACTCAAATTGCAGACACACCAAAACAAACCTAGTGTATAAATTGTAGGTTTCATATATACTGGGTTATTAACAATTTACAGTATATAGTCAGTATATAGTTATAATAATTTATAATTCCACGTATATGTACATATCTACATATACCAATGATTTCATGGAATTGTATCGTGCATTTATCAGCTGGGATAGCATCCATTATCTACATTTAATATATATATATATATTGATAATCCCATCATATCCCAGCAACATCCCATAGAACCAAACCCCACACCCTACATAATCCCATTGCATGCATTTTTTTGTTGGTCAAATCCCATTAAATCACCAATGAACCGTACAAGAACAATATAATATATTAGCAATATATTAGCTATATCAACCACAATAACATATTAACGATATTTAAAGATATACATGATATATAGTATATTATGTGTTATATATCATATATATATATCATATATATATCATATATATATATCATATATATATATATATCATATATATATCATATATATATATATATATCATATATATACCATATATATATCATATATATATATCATATATATATATATCATATATATCTCATATATATATATACGTATTATTATATTATATTATATATATATATCATATTATATTATATTATATTCATAGTAATTTTAACACAAAATCTTCTCTTATCTTCTCTATCTATTCTCTTATATTATATTATCTTCACATCTAATGTCTATCTATATATACATACCCCAAGATAATCCCCATGATATTCCCATGATGTGTCCATGATCTCGGTGACCGCGCCAGGACAGAACTGCACTGATTCCAATCCTGTGCCGTGAGAACTTGAGGCAATGGCCATGACGAACTCCTGTAGCTATGCTATAACCATGGTATACCCTCTGGTAATTTAACATAGCTATTGAAAATGGTCATTTATAGTGGATTTACCCACTGAAAACTGTGATTTTCCATAGTTATGTTACGTTAGTTTACCAGAGGGTAACTATGGCATAGCAATGGTATAATTAAGGTCTTGTCAAGGTCTCAACTATGGATGACTATGGTACAATTATGGTAACTGGAATTGTAGAGAATTATGCTATAGCTATGGCAATAAGTTGTAGTATAACTATATCATCATATCTATCTGGCCCATCTGCGGACCTATTTTTAATCAAGAAACCAGCCCCTGGAAGGGGGTTTACGATTGGCGTTACCACATCAAATCAAGACTTTAGAATACTTTAGTTGCAATTTCAGAAATACTTTTCCAGAATCACAGAACCAAAGCCTCTGAAAATGTTACCCTCTGGTAATTTAACATAGCTATTGAAAATGACCATTAATAGTGGATTTTCCCATTAAAAATGGTGATTTTCAATAGCTATGTTAAATTACCAAAAGTAAACCGCTGAACCCGACTGCCACCCTTTTTAAGGCCCACCCGTGGCCGTGTGCCTCCGCATTTTTGCGCTGGAGCTCGAGGGACCACTTCTCTACATCACGCATGAGATGTTCCACTCGTTCCAGCACTGGCCGAGGAAGGTGCCGTACCTGACTTTGGGCAAGAGAGTCATGGGGCTAACGGGTACGACGGGTACAACGGGTACAACCAAATCATCCTAAATTGAACCATTTTAGGAAACTGAAAGCCATATTTTTGGGATCCCCCATTTTACAAACACTGTATATACGAAAGCCATCCTGAAACATTCTTTCACGGGCAGATATTTTTCAGTTTTCACAAGAGGTCAAAGAATTAGTATCAGATGTTGCATACCGAAGAACATCATATCTCATGTGTCAAATGACACATGTTTTGACATCTACAATCTTCTGTTGATCTCCAATGGACACCTTCAGCATCTAGTGGTGGTTGTGGACAGGGGATGGGCACCACGAAGCACTTAGCCATTTCAATAGCTTTGGGATTAACATGACCATTGTTTGATGGATTTGTTCCTTTCAAACCTTCATTTATTGGGGATTTTCATGGGTTTTCCATTGCCACCCTTGATTACGAGGGTAAATCATTGGACAGGCCATCCCAGTGTTTCAGTCGTTCATTGATAGACTGCCCCAGTGCCTCGTCAGCTGTACCCGCAACTGCCTGTTTTTCTTTGATGCTGGCTGCATGTCAGGCTTCAAAGTCAAACAGGCCACACATATATACAACATAAATATATCAATACATATATATATATATAATACCAATACATACATATATCAATATATTTTAGCATGTATTCGTATGTGCATAAATAAGCAATTATATATATAACAATATATATATATATATGCAAATCACAATGTACACATACATATATATCAATAGATCAATATATATATATATATGTATAAATACCAAAAAACGACTCCATATCTAAATATACATCATATATATATATATATCAATCTTAAACTATCAATATATATATATATATGTCAATATATGTATATATGTCAATATATGTATATATGTCAATATATAATTATATATATACATATGTAATACTAATATGTACGTATATATATACATATCAATATATGTATATATATATATATAGATATTTATATATTCATGTATAGATGTAAATAAATATATATATAATAAATATTAATAAATGATAATTATACTAATAATAAAAATCATAATATTAATAATGAACATAATACAGTAATATTATATACATACAGCAAAATTCAGCGATCTATAGCTGGTTAGTAAGTACGTGTCCCCATTCACAGCAAATAAATAACGTACTGAAGTACCTATCTAAAGGATGACCCAGTCCAGCACTGTCTTTTTGCATGCTTGGCTTGGAGTCTGGAACAGTATAGATGAACGTCCCCAACAGAATCTGTAACCTTCAGTGCTGCAATGCTTACATATCATACCAGATTTTCAGAATTTTGATGATTTTTAAACATACCATATCCTATACTATACAATGATATACCTTGAGATATACCATACCCACAAAAATATGTGCAAAACTTGTCAAAACTTGGGGGTAAATTGCTTATATTTGGGAATGCATCACCCATATTTTTTTATATATCTCCAAACCACCAACATAGAGAGAGAGAGTCCCTGGATATATACATCTCTGGTCCTAAAGAATGGGTGATTGAATCTGGGGTCATGTTCAATCCGAAAGCTAAGGTTAAAACCCTTTAGTTTCTATATATATATATACGTGTCTATTCATTTTATATAAGTGCTCCCCAGAGCTACACCTTCTGGTAAACCAACATAACATATGGAAAATCACCACTTTTCATAGGTAGATCAACTATACATGATTATAATTACACTACAAATGGGCCATTTTCAATAGCTCTGCCAGTTTTCACAAGCCTTGATGCTCTGCTGGGACGACCAAGGACGACCCCACTGAGCACCCGACACGACGCACGAGCGTTGCATGGGGCGCAGAGTCACGGTCTTCGCTGACCAACAGCTGAATGACCTGCGAGGCGATCCAGCAGGAAAAACGGTCATTTACCCAGCAAGAAATGATGGTTTCACCAGCAAAAATTGCTTTACTTCGAGTGATCCCCACCGTGACATTATTTTGTCATAGTTTCTGACATCCCATCTGGAAGTATATATGGCATACTTGAGAGGGGGGGAAGCAAAGCCTCTCTGTGTAAAAGCTGGCTGTGTGTGAAAGCGTGCTGTGTGCACAAGCTTCTGTATGTAAAAGCTTTTCTGCGTAAAAGCATCTGTCTCAAAGCGTCTGTGTAAAAACTCCTGTGCACAAAGACTTCTGTGCGTAAAGGCTTCTGTGCGGAAAATTTTCGTGCGTAAAAAGTAAAAAGTCTCTGCGTGCAAAAGTTTCTGTGTGCAAAAGTGCAAAGTTACTGACTGGGTAAAGTTTCTGCGTGCAAAAGTTTCGGTGTGTAAAAATTGTTCTGTGCAAAGGCTTCTCTGCGTAAAACGTTATGTGTAAAAGCGCCTGTGTGCCTTTATTTATGCGTGCAAAAGCATCTTTGTGCAAAGCATTGGTGTGTAAAAACTTTTGGGTGTAAAAATGTCTTTGCGTAAAAGCCTCTGTGTGTAAAGGCGTCTGCGTGTAAAAGTTTCTCTGTGCACAAACCTCTCAGTATAAGAGTATCTGCGCATAAAGTGGTGGTGGTGGTGGTGGTGATGGTGGTGGTGATGGTGGTGGTGGTGGTGGTTGCTGTTGCTGTTGCTGTTGCTGTTGCTGCTGCTGCTGCTGCTGTTGCTGTTGCTGTTGCTGTTGCTGTTGCTGTTGCTGTTGCTGCTGGTGCTGGTGCTGGTGCTGTTGCTGTTGCTGTTGCTGTTGCTGTTGCTGGTGCTGGTGCTGTTGCTGTTGCTGTTGCTGTTGCTGTTGCTGCTGGTGCTGGTGCTGGTGCTGTTGCTGCTGCTGCTGCTGCTGCTGCTTGTGCTGTTGCTGTTGCTGTTGCTGTTGCTGTTGCTGTTGCTGTTGTTGTTGTTGTTGCTGTTGCTGTTGCTGTTGCTGTTGCTGTTGCTGTTGCTGTTGCTGTTGCTGCTGGTGCTGTTGCTGTTGCTGTTGCTGTTGCTGTTGTTGTTGTTGTTGTTACTCCTGCAGTTGTTTCTCAGTTTCGTAGTGGCCGAAAATCGTCAAATAGTTGGTGTTTTTGCGTTGTTTCGAGACTCTCGGAGCAAAAAACACTGTAAATACCGATGTTGTTTGCACCTCGGAAACCCAAAACCACGGTATGAAGTGATGTTTCCATGCAAAAGTCACAAAACCCATGTGAATTACAGTGTTTTAGGTCTGCTTTTAGGGTTTGTGACGGGATGGAGGGGAGGGGGGTTGGGGGGGTCCTACAATGAATAACAACCTCCTGAATAACGCTGAATAATCAGGTAACGGGGCTGGCCACCCTCCCTTTACTTCGCAAAGCAAAACTCAAGGTAGCACCACTGGAGCTACCTTTCGTATCCTTTCGTGATATCTTCTGACATTCTATTTTGGCATTCTTTCTGACATTCTGTTCTGACATTCATTTCTGGCATTCTATCTGGCATCTATTCTGACATTCTTTCCGGCATCTTTTCTGGCATTCTATCTGGATCTATCTGGTATATCTTCGGAGAATCTTTGTGGTAAAGTTCCGGCGCAAAACACTCTGATCGAGGCGGAGGCGGGCCGACAGGTGGGGAACTGCTGATTTACCCCCAGAAAAATTGAGAATTTCACCAGACTAGGGATTGACCGGAAAAAGCCAATGCAAACCTCATGATTTAAGCAGCAAAACATGCGATTTCAGCAGCAAGAAATGGTGATTCTATTGATTTACCATAAAAATCCTAAAAATTGGTTTTCTATCCGTCAAGAATTGTTGATTGCCAGCAATAGATGGGGATGTAACATGATGTAACCACGAACAACCTGGAAAACACAAGGGTAAGCCATGTCCCATCTACTGGTAGCCTCCATTCCCTCCATTTCAGGAGACATGTCGGATCTCCATCAAGGGTCTCCAAGCCCCAACATCAAAGATCCACTAATCTCATGTTTATCATGGAAGTTGGATATATACTTTATGTGTCTTTATATCATGCTAAATCTATGGAACTTCCATGGTTAGTTCCATGGTTTTACATATAGACCATATAGATTCTAATTGATCATAAGTTCCATATTGTTCCATGGTTTTACATATAGACCATATATGATATATAGATCATAAATAGTGTTACCATGTTTTACCATGATTCTGTAGCAAAGGCATCGCCACTTCCCGCCTGTTTGAATTGTGCGAGCAGAGCCGCCATCTCGGGGTCCTGTTCCAGGCCACTGTTGGCATTCTCTGGGAAGCGGTGTGGCCTCGGGGATGCCATGGAAATCCATGGAGTGCCCTATCACGAAGGCTGCTAACCTGGAATTCAATATTATATTTATGTGATCTTTTTTCAATTTGGGTGAGGAAACTTGGAGTTAACAAGCTGGTGAACTTGTGTTGACATGTGTTGACATGTGTTGACATGCCATCATTCATCGAAGTGTATTTAATATAGACTCAACCACTGAACCACTTACAAAGGGATTTAGAACATCGAAAACTTAGAACATCACTAGTCACAAGTCACTGAGGTCGCAGCAGCAGACTCCTCAAGAGTCCTGGCAAAAAATGGAGGTGTCAAGGTGCTGAACACCAGGATTTCAAGCGATACCCTCTGGTAAACTAACATAGCAATGGAAAATCACCATTTTCAATGGGAACATCCACTATAAATCACCATTTTCAATAGCTATGTTAGTTTACCAGAGGGTATCTCAGGTCACTACTGTAATATGTTGCGACCGCTCCTGCCCGTGGCTCCAGCGGCTTTTCCAAGCAACACAAAATCACCATCCTGCCGCTTTCGAAGCAGGTTGGAAACCGCGTGGTGGATGACAAGTTTGACAGCTGAAAATGCCAAGGTTATGATTCTGGAAAATGAAAATGATGGATGTTTCTGACGTTTATATATATATGTTCTCAACATGTTTATGTTTGTGTTTAAACATGTTTTCCCTACACATGCATTCGTAGGGATCAACTGTGTCAATGATCTACGACCTCGGAAGGACGAGGAAGAGCTCCACATCGCAATCAGTGCCTAAGCTGCCACCGATGCTGCGGAAGAGGATCCATTTTTTCTGTGGCTATTATCTGGATATATGATGATATATGTGGATAAGCAAAACAACTACCCTGAAATATCTGAAATCAGAAAAACTCCAGACATTACTCCTTGTTATAACATGTTACAACCATGATTCCAGTGACGTCGCTGTGATGTCATTGTTGTTTTTGTTATCAATCCATAATATACATATATAATATATACGTATATACCACCAGTCTCTTCAGAATCCAAGGCACGCATCAGTCAATATTGATTCCCTTCAAGCTGAATACCATTGTGCAACTCAACAACCAGCATCTGCAGATCTGTTTGTTTGGAGCTTCGTGGAAGAAGATCAACCGTGGGAATATGCAAATGGCTGCAAATGATCGCAAATGTATATCACATTGTACAATGTTATCTCTGTGCAATATCAATAGATAATAGCAACTTCCCGAAATAGGTAATCCTTCTATGTAAAGGAAAGTGCAGAGAATGCATGACAGCGGAAACATATTGAGACTTTTAGAGGTCCTGTGTTGTCTCCTCCCTTTTTCTGCTCTTTTTGCATGGGACGGTGTCTCTTCCCTTTCGCTGCTCTTTTTGCATGGGACATTGTCTCTTCCCTGTCGCTGCTCTTTCTGTGTGGGACGCGGCGTCATGAAATTTCCCCGCAGGACAACCAGAACAACATACGCATCCTAATTAAAGATGAAATCATCTTGCCCTACTGCTCCAAATTACACTCTATCAGGTGCCAGTTGGTTTTTTGGTCTTTGGAGCTTCAAAATAATCATCCAACCAGTCCCCAAAACGCCATCCCAGGCACACATGGTTGTGAACGCAGGCGCCAGGTTTTGAGCAATTCGGAACTCAGCAACCTCGCTCCAACGGTTCCAACGCCAGGGTGCACGGTGTCAAGATTGGGTAACACAAACATGACGTTTGCCGGCAAAAATCTACCCTCTGGTAAACTAACATAGCAATGGAAAAGCAACATTTTTAATGGGAAAATCCACTATAAATGGCCATGTTCAATAGCTATGTTAGTTTACCCGAGGGTAACTACAGGTTCTTTTTCTGCTACACTTTCAACTTCAGTGGCCCATTCTGAAGTGTCTTGTGGATCAATCAAGTCCTCTTGAGATAGATACAGGGTCGGTTTGGTATACCATCATTTCCGACCGGGAAAAGGACATGATCGACTCACAAATCTTCACGTCTCACTCAACTCGACCGAGATGCGATGTCGTTGTTGGCTTCAAAGAGAGATCTCTGCCGAACATAGCGAGCGCCAATTTCCCAGCTCTCCTGGAGCCACGGATTTATTTATGCCAAAGTCGAGCCATTCTTATGGCTACTTTGGTCAAAGTATGTGGATCGACATATATATATATATACACATAATGAACCATAATCATATATCTATATAAACACTCTACATATAATCATATCATGTCAAAATATGTTGGAAAGCACAAGCCTGAGCTGCTCAGGAAGCTGATTCCCCGCTTGGCCACATAACCCAGCTGCCCATTTTCCCCCAGGGTGTCTCCTCCCAGTCGACGAGCCTCCGCCGAAATGGATGTCACTTCGAGTGAAAGAATTGAATGACCACAATATTCCTTCCATATGATTATTCATAGCATATTTTAAAACATAGAAAAGTTATGACAAGTTCAAATCTTACTAAAAGAATGATGAATTACGGTTCTATTCTTTGGGGGGTTGCTAGACATGAAAATAATATGATGTTGTTTGCTAGTAAAAATCCAGAAAATTGATGACTGAATATCCAGTAAAGGTTTCAACCAATATATGAGTGTATATAATTTGTATGCTTGCATTTTCACGGATTTGGTGGTTCTCTTGAAATAGTCAAAATCTCATTAGTCTCGAATCACCATCCCCAAAATCTTCCAAGATACAGGAACGGGTTTGTGGCCAAGCAAACAAGGCCTTGCCTGGCAACAAGGCCAACGTTGTTACACAGGTGCCTTGGATGGCAGGAGCTGATTGCAACATCAGCAACGTCATGTATGTTTTCTTAAACCAACTGAAATAGTGGAGATGGAAAGGTCAATTTGATAGTTTATCATCATTTCTCCCAGTAAAATTGCGGAAGGGTCATGTCCCAATTTCTTGAGAAAATCAGCCGGGGCACGGATCAACGCGCTCCAAACACTTCTTGACTTCACGCAAGTACCGGCGCATCGCTTCAAAAGAGCCAACCACATCCTGGCACGGGCGCTCTCTGGCGCTCACACTTGGGATTACTTGGGTACCTTGTGTACCTTCCAAAGTTGGAGTGTTCAAAATCCATCTGTTGATGGGCTACATAAACCTAACATCTGTGGGTTGAGGGGTTCCCGATTTTGAAGCCCACTTTTTAGATCTTTCTTAGGACTTCTCCACAGTGGGAGCAACAGGTGCACTGCTAAGGTCCACACAACTGCCATGGACACTCCGGCACTTCTGGACACAGCATCTTGGATAGCTGCCGCTGCGAAGCCCTGTCGACAGTCAGATCTGGGGTACATGGGGCCATCGGTCTACCCACGTATCAAAAGCCAGTTTTGGACAAAGCCTCAAATGTCTGCACTGATTTTTTGGGGTCTCATGGCCTATGAGGAAACATATGGAAACATCAACATCACCCTACATTGCCCCAGCATGATGGCTGCCTTGCCCTCACCGGCAGCTACGATGTCTTTACCTCCAGACATCATACATCTACGAGAGGAGTCATGACAGCAACGGCAAAGTGAGGTAAAAAAACGTCCAGATGATTTGCTGTCATGAGTTTCAATGGAAATTTGAGGCTGTTGCATGCTGGCATCAATAGATTGGTTTAAGGTGACAGTCTACAGGAAAACACATTGTTTATCGTTTTTTCATAGCTAAAACCGGAGGAATACACATAAAAAATCATGAACAGATGGGGGTTATGGGGGTTCCATGGGTTTTCAATTTTCTCATCAATTCTCGAAACTCAACTTCCTATCCTGAGGACATGGCTGCTCAAGCCAAACTTGCTCAGCACCTCCGACGCCTCAAGTTCCATATCAAAGAATAGCAGATATATCAGGAGATATCAGTGTTTCTTCTTTCACCCTCAAATTTCTGGAGTTGCTGCTGACTCAGGTGTTTTTTTTTTCCGAAGTTTATGATCTTCACAAGCTTTTGACCCACTTGCTGGTCAGTGAAGGTCTCAATCCTGTGGTAGCCCATCCCCAAATCCGATCCAGTGGAGTTCCCAATGACATGCCATGAGGATCGATTGAGCTGGCGACACTCTCCAATATGTCAAAGCCTTGGCAGAGGGATCAACATGACATATCTACATTACCTGTAAAAAAACTAGGCCTCCAAAAAAGATTAAAAAACAAATGGGTCTACCCCAATTTCCCTCCAAGCTCCGAAAATGATGATGATACCCGGATTTTGGGCTATGGTATAGACAAACCCGCATATACATTTATCAAAAAACAAATAGTCCCTTCCCATATGTAAACATATCTATACACATATATCTTAAACTCTTAAACACATACATGTATATATATATATATGATTAGATGCATATGTATATGTATATATATATATATATACATGGACATATATAATATGATGTAAATATAGTATGCATATTATGTATATTGTTATGTATATCATGTAAATTCTTAAATATTTTTTTCATCTCCAAATTGATGGGTGCCCCGGCCCAGGTCGTCACGTCCCTTACGACGGAAGTTGGCCACAGAGTTGAGATGGGCAATGCCCTGCCTAAGGCGATCTCAAGGGGATTTCATGTGGTACTTTTTTCATGGGGAAACCACAGGAAAACCATAGGAAAATGCTGATTTCACCTAGAAAAACAAGGGATTTTCATGGGGATTGTAGCTGATTTTAGGCATGTCCCCCTTTCAGAAGTCATGATGGATTTTTCGCCCTAGTTTTTTTTCCTGTACCTCCCTCAAACACCCTGGTTTAGTACTGGAATCATTTATTTGTGGGTCCCTTATTCGGGGTATAATAAGGGATGGGATTCGTGGGGGATTAACCCAGAAAATACCACTGACAGCAATTCTACCCCTGTATTAAAAAAAAGTTATAATTGTGGATTATGTTAGACATTATTGTATTGTATTATGGTGTTAATTGTCATTTGATTTTCAGGGTAAACCAAGAAGATTGGGTATTTCACCGCCAATAAGCAAACAACATATGGCTTGGATGTGCATCCCAGCTACTAAGTGGGCGATGACCCAGCTGCATGTGGGCTTCAAATCCCTTCTCAGAAGGTATTTGAAAGTCTAGGGAGTGGATGCTGATGGGTCAGAAGTTGGTTCTTACTGCTGAGTTGATTTTGTCTACAGCAACTTGGCAGGAATGGTCGTCTATGTTAGAGAATAACAACTCCTCATCCCCCTTTGATAGTGAATTGCCACTAATTGCAATTTGATTGTCTAGTATGTGGTTGGGAAACTCTTGGTAGCTCCTTAGCTCCCCATTTAATAGGGAATATGAATAGCCATAGCTCCTTAGCTCCCTCCTAACCACTGGATTTTCGGCTCAAGTTAGAAACAGTTCATGCTTGACGATCATGGGGAACCCAACAAAAAACATCCTCCAAATGGAATTTCCAGCAGTGCGGGCAAGCGACACTAGCGCTCTCTGCAGTTCGACAGTTTCTTTTCCCTTTTGAGGGGCATCCTGTTGGGTGGAAAGAGCAGGGATGAACATGGAATTTCCACCCAAAAAAAAACATGAAAAGGGTATCTCTACAGTCTCTAAAAAATATTCAGTCATCCCCGAAGAAGATAGAAAGGCAATTCATCACTATTCTACAGTAGGAGGATTATACTGTTCTCTCTTTTGCGGGCTTGCTTTTTGCCAAAAGAAACACGAAAAGGAGTACCATGATCCAAGCACTAGTGAACAACAATGACAACAATGGTTCCTCCCAAACCATCTGGTTTTTGGTCAAAGTTATCAGCCCTCAAAATGGATGGTTTGATACTAAAAGGATGGTATTGATTTCTGGTAGTTTGCAAACCATCTTTTCAGCAGCAATTTTGTGGGTCCGTTGATACCCCAATAAAGTGACCCAGTTTGGATTTCCCATGATTTCCCAGCACTTTCTGGTCACAACCGTCCTCCACTGTTGCGAGCTTCGCCTCAAGTTCTACTGCCTGCCAAATGGCCACAGATGTCAAAAAGCACATACATACACAGCCTATACATTGTCTGCAATAGATCTTTCAACTTGCCAACCTGGCTTCCTAGAATTCACTATCCCACCATCGCCTGAACCAGAACCATAACCTTTTAGAGGAAAAAATTGTCTTCCGAACCCCCAGTCAATAACAAATCAACCAATCATATTTCCTTTGAAAAATCATCCGATTAATCCCCATTGAATCCCATTATGCTATCACGGAGCAGGCCAGAAGCCATGACAGGTGCTCAAGTTCCGACCCTGCCCGTGAAGGCCGTCTATATAAGTATGTATATGTATACATATACACATACATATATACATAGTATATATATATACTAATATATACACATAGTAAACCCCAAAAAGATAGAGCAATGTGATGATTCAATTTGTTTTTGTTTTGGGTTGCTATGTATATATATATATATGAATGATTATACATATGTATATATATATATGTATATATATATATGTATATATATATAGACAAAGTATATACACAACAATAATCGATAGAAATCCGTAGCATGGTACATTAAGCCCTATCAATGGTGAATGACCATCCCTTGTTTTTAGGACAATTAAACATGTTTTGGGATAAAAAACAACAGATTCTCAAAACAGCCTCAGTTCCATGTTTCTGCTAGTGGCAGCATTTACCAGCCATATACCTCCCATTCGGATACCTTGATGATCAACCGTCTTGCTTGTTCCTCAATCTCGATCAGCTCGGCAATGTACCTGTGACCATGATGTGGCACTTGGTGGCTCTCAGGGCCTTCATATGTGTATATAAATTGTATAAATGTATATATTCAACATATACACATTTTGTGGAGATATTTACCCTGTGGGAGACATTGAATCTGCTAATGCATAGTACATACTATAATACACTATAACAACACATATACATATGCTATCAAGATATAATATACATAGGAATACGTAATTATGATACACTAATTAGACTTCTAGCATCTTCTAGCTATACTTTGGTGGATTGTTATTAAATTTTATTAATGTACCTCTTCAGAGCGCATCAACCCCAATTGGCTTTAATCTGCGGCTGAGGTGCTTATGCTCGAAGCCGGCCCAGGCTACATCCAGCGAATCCAGCACTGCACAGAGTTCCGATCGGCCCTGGCGCATGGAGCTTCATGGAGCCGGGAGATCGGAAAATGGATAACCAGCTGGTAATTTAACAAATAGCTATTGAAAATGGCCATTTATAGTGGATTTTCCCATTAAAAATGGTGATTTTCCATAGTTATGTTAGTTTACCAGAGGGTAACATTGGGATTTTGATGGATTTGGGGATCAATTCAATAGTCAGACTATGGAACAAAAAACCACTCAGTTGGTTTTTAGAACATGGATTTTCTCCATGAACCAATGGCAACAAAACGGGGTATCCCTCGAGGCAATCGTGGCTTCAGTCCGAAACACAGCGAAACAAAGGTGTGTCCGAACATGTGCAAAAATCATACCGATCAGGTTTGTCATTCCTGTCAATTTTGCTTGATTCCAATCCCATTATATATATATATATATATGTTCCAAATCCCATTATATCCCCATTGAATATCACCTTTGGTGATTACAATCTGGTTACCTAACATAGCCATGGGAAAATCACCATTTTTAGGTTCGGTAAACCATCTATTATCATCATTTATCATCTATTTCGATTAGGGCCATCTATACCATGGCAACCTGTTAGTATATGACCCTGCAACATATTGCTGGTTGTTCCTGGATATCTGAGCCAGACCTGGGTACCCCGAAATTGGGCTTGCTGTCTGGGTCCGAAGTTTCGACCCTTTTTTTTACGTATCCCCATGAAACACGGTTTAAAGTTCAGTTGGTGAGAAAAAATACACAGATTTTTTGAAATAGATTGAAATATCATCCAAAAAAACTCCATTCTATTTAGCTATTGCTGGCTATTGCTGGATATATTATGATATATTAGCCGTAAATTTCAAATATCATACGCTGCATAATATCATAGTATTACCTGTTGGATTGATCAGAACCACACTGTTCATCTATATCATCTATCAACATCTATATTATTAGATTCATGGTTGATATTCATGAATGATTGATGGATCTAATCATAAGTTGCTTAGTATCATCTATCAACTATCAATTGATGAATCAACTAATGAATCATACTTCTGGGCAATTCATGTTAATTCACTGACCTGTAATCAAGCCATTTGGAGATAATACTTATGAACCGTCATTTCAGTGACATCGCAGTCAGGTCTCTCCAAACATTTGGGTATGGGTCAAAATTGGGTTCCCCAATAATTATAGATTATATAGATTGTTAATACTAAACATATCTAAACATATATAAACATATATCATGTACAAATACATTTCAAACTGTATTCCCTTCTGGGGCTTATTTTTTGACCCATACCCATGGTCGTTGTAATTCATCCAAACATTATTATATCCACACTTAAAGTCTTTTTTAATTACCAATCATATCCCACAGGTATATCCCATAGGTCATATCCCATACCCTTTGGTAAACTAACAGTTTGCTATTGAAAATGGCCCAATCGAAATAGTTGATTTACCTATTACCCTCTGGTAAACTAACATAACCATGGAAAATCACCTTTTTTCATGGGAAAACTCACTATAAATGACCATTTTCAATAGCTATGTTAGTTTACCAGAGGGTAAACATGGTCATTTTCCATATGTTCCCAGAGGGTAGCCATTGGATCCTCCAAGAACCGCCGCTCCCCCTGGGTTCAGCCGGCTGGATGTCGACATCCATCAGGAGCTGCGGCCGACGCATCCAGAAGCTGAGTGAGATCGCTCCAAGCCTGGCTCCGAATCCCATGGGATTTTCACCAAGGGCAAAACCGCCCTAAGGGCCTTAAAAATAAGGTTTGAAGCAAGGCTTTTTGATTGGAGTCCCATACTAACCATATAGTTTTCTGGACACCATGGCATTTTGTAGAAGTTTATTCGATTTGGTCAACCAAAATTGAGTTCACGGGATTTGTTGCTAACAACAGTTAGGGATTCAGGCTCACTCACAAGCCGGAAACTTACAAACAAACCGGTCAACAAAACGGGTCGTTCCCAGTTTCCCAATTGCCAAGATTTCAGAATGTCCAAAGGAGTACTGGCCAAAATCCAGCCAAATATGACCGTCTCTTTTCCGACAGGTCCAAATGAGCATAGAATGAGTTTCGCTCTCAAAAACCTCTCCAAGGAAGATATACAATAGTAATACAAAGAAGTTTGATTTGCCATGAGTTCCACCTTGGTTCCAGCACAAACGTTGGTCAACTTAGTCAACTTCGAGCAATTTCAGCGTGCTCTCGGGCTCTGGCCTTTTGCAAAGCTTCAGCATGGCAAATGGCCTGCCAGTCACTGAACCATCTCGCACGATGGAAAACACAAAACATGCGGCCAAGGATTTAGGATCTTGGTCCGTCTTCAGTATCAACATCTATCAACCATCCCAATTGAAGATCATTTAGGGATACAGTAGGAGTACTGTGGATAGCCAATGACTTGACCCATCCTAACCCCCTTTTCCGCCAGCGAGAAGTGCCACCGGCCTCTGGGCTGAGCTCAAACTTGTCACCGTTCACCCAGATTGCAGAGTGCTGATCGGCGCTTGCCTTTGTCAGCACCCGACGACGCCCATCATCATCCCAAGATAATCAGTTTCATGGTTGGGGAGGGAACTTGGCTATGCCAAAAGGCAAGGCCTATCAAACTTGGAACTAGTATGAACTAGTTATATACTCTTTCTTGTCAGATGCTTTCAGGGTCATTCGGGTGACTTTGCCTTTGCATTGCTGAAAGATTTTTTGTCATTCTCACCACCTTGAGGTCATTCTGAGAACACGACTTCAAGCACATCGACCCGATAGTGCCGCGCATCGTCTGGGAAAAGTGCACCTTTGAAACAGGGAAACTTGTTCTGTACTAGTCATTTGTTGCCGCAAGTTCCATCAGAACATCATATCACGTAAAACAATCTAGAGACATAGCATCCAATTCGAGTGACCCGGAAAAATCCTTGGATCCATACATTTAGATACATTTAGCATCTTGCGGTGAGGAAGCCAAATGGGCAAGCCAAATTCATATTTAAACTTCAAAACTCCACAGTTTTCTAGTTGAAATCTGAAGATCTGATGAATTCACATAGTTTGCAACATCATTTCGGATAAAATCCATCCGTGTCAGCTTCCACTCTGCAATGGCCAACCCTGAGATTCCTGATCAGCCGTTGATCTCCTCCAATGATTCAAGAAACACAAGATGTAGCTGTGTCCAAAAATGGGAGCTACCTCCAAAATGGATCAAAATGGCTATCTTTCTGGGAAAATGGGGATCAATCAACCATGATCAACCATAAACCCATTTTGGAGGTACCAGCTGGGCTCCCTGGAAAATGAGGATCAATCAACCCAATTGGGAAAGCATGTTCTTGTGGTACCCTCTGGTAAACTAACATAGCTATGGAAAATCACCATTGTTAATGGGAAAATCCACTATAAATGGTCATTTTCAATAGCTATTTTGACATAACCAGAGGGTACCCATCTTTCGAAAATGAGGATCCATCAACCAGCCGGGCTCCCTGCGGTAATTTGCTGAGAATTTCTTTCGATATCCACGGGGTGCCGCCTGCCACCGTGGACGACTTGGGACTTGGGACTTGGGAAAGTTTTGTAAAGCATAAATCAACATGGCAGTTTGTCAAAACCTTGTACCCCTGTAGTTCACATCAAAATAGCTGGGATTTATGGATGTGAATAACCCCCTAAAAATGGTATTAATAGGTATTGATCCATACCCACATTTCCTTTAACGAATTCTGGGATGCTTGAGATGAACATTTCAGGATGTTGTTGTTTGTTATTTTTGTTCTTCTTACACTTACATCAGCATTGGACCACAATAAAAAAAACTCTGCGTGTGATTCCTATGATTCCTTTCACCCAGTTTCTTGTCTTTCTTGTCATGTACGATTCAGATATTTGAATCTCTAATGGTAGTAGTGGCATCCATGTCTTTTTTCGGCGCACGAACCTCCGAAATCCAGTGGTACTTGGAAGTGTCCGCCCATTCAGGTAAATGTAAATGACTTGGCTTAGTTTCCCCAAATGTATATACTGTGTATATATATATATATTGATATATATAATATATATATATAATATATATATATATATGATATATATATATTATATATATATATGTATCATGTCATGTGGGACAGGACGTATATCTTTCAACCCACCAAGCATCAAGCACTTTTGGGTTTCGCTACCCACCTCCTTGGCTCGTTTTCTCGGTGAGTCTCCATCATCCGTGCCCCAAGCTTTCGTTGTGACATGAGTTCAATTATATCCCCTCTGTCCCCATGGTTGATACTCTTAAGTCCCATGGAAGATCCGATTGAATCACATCAAATCTGGAAAAAAAACCATGGAAAATCCCATTCTGTCTATTAGATCATATTAGATCCCATAGAAAACCCCATGGGAAAATACCACCGGAGTGAATTCCAACCCAACCGGCGTTCCGACGGACCTCAAGACCAAAGGTCTTCGCAGCGGTCTCTACGGAGCTCAGGAAGATGGCGCAAGCACCTTGGCAGATGAGCAGCTGAGGTGTGTTTGTCGTGTTGCGAGGCAGGCAATGGATATATATATATATTATTTGTATGTAATAATGCAAACATTCTATACCATATGTAATGTGATATTGTATACAATATGTATACATATAATATTCTATATCTACAATATATATATATATAATTAATTCTATATATGTGAACAACACATGGGGCATTTCTTTAGACCAGCGAAGTCTATGATTCAAATATGATCTGATCACCAAAAAGTTTGATCCTACCCAAACTCCGGAGCTATCCATCCAACATTATCCAACTAGGTACAGCGACCAGTGAAATCAAAGATACTTGACAAAATAAAGGAGGCAAAATAAAAGAGACTCCAAAAAGCGAAGCATTTTGGGGGACATAACCAGTGAACATGTGGATGTAATATGATGTAATCAAAGGAACCAAAATTGAGGGGTCCTGATCCATTTCCCAACCTGGGCCCCAAAAAACCCACTGGGGGCAATCTCAGATCGAAATGCACAGAAATGCGGGATATAAATTCATAAGACAACCAATCACCCTCTATTCAGGTGATGACAATTGCGACAAAATTAACCAACAAATAGACCAAATTAGAAACCTCTTCACAAACTCTGACCAAGGTCTTAAGTATGCATCCGCAAACTGCTGCTGTTACTCCTGATAACAATGATTACAATCATCGCACGGTGTTTGGAAACAAAAGCGAAAACAATCGAAAACATGTAGTATTTGATGGCATTTGAAAAAAGGGGGTTATGGTCAATATTTCATGAATACTCCATGAATCATCCTGTCCCCCTAATATTAAACACCATCATTGTATGGTCCCAAATATGTGGTTTCATCCCCTACATCCACTATGGTTTCTGGGGTGTGCTTAATGTTAGGGGCATGGGATTATTATACTTGGTGAGATCTAAACCGTTATATCCCCATGAAAATCTACCATTCACTCACCATGTTTGGACGGTGAAACAGTTAAACTATTGTTCAAAATGAAACCAGCTTCAACCTCATTAAACCATTAAATCAAATCCTCACTAAATCAAAAAAAAACATTCATATCCCATTCATATCACCAAAAATATCACCCTTCCAACTCTGAGCTCCAGAACTGTAGCCAGCTTCACTACCCACCTCGGCACGTCCTGGTTGAAAGATGGAGGAAACGTCCGACTACCCTGATCTACAAATCGATTTGTTAGTTTACAGGGGACACTCCCCCAAGCAAAACATCAACCCTGGTTGAGTATTGGATGAAGTAGAAAATATTGGGCTCGACGACTAGGGGGGTATTGAATATTAGTGGGATGGGTCTGGATTGTGGATGTATTGTCCAACGAAGAAACCATGGCACAAGGTTTCAGCCATCAAAATTGGACTCTCTTATATGAAAATATATGAACACATATTGGCAACGAGTCAAAGTCCTGGTATCCTGGTAGAGAGTACATACCAGGTGAACGTCAATAGCTGATAAATGCATGTTCATCCCTCTAAAACGAAGTTTTTTTTATCGTTAAAACAGCCGTCCCCGAATGGGTTGACTGAAAATAGAGTACCAAGTCCAGTGGTCAATACCCTCTGGTAAACTGACATAGCTATGGAAAATCACCATTTTTAATGGGAAAACTCACTATAAATGGCCATTTTCAATAGCTATGTTAAATTACCAGAGGGTATTCCATGCATTTTTAAAAAAGCTATCCCACCATTTTCATCCATTGGCAGCAACGGAAATCTCCTCCATCTAGGAGCAGCGCCCGGTGCGTATTCAACAGCTGGTCAATTGCTGCGCTCTCCTCAGTGATGATTAGGGCTTTGCGTGTGGTTCACTGTCTTTAAAAATTCAGCTATAGTCCAACTGGGGGTACAAGCATGTAAACAACCCAGCGATTGGTGGGATACCATACCACCAGTTTCTTTGGGACTTCTGATCGCCAGGCCTTGTTTTTTTTACCGCGTCAATGATCATCCAATCAATCGAATATTCTAAATTCTAAATAATGAGCTTGTAATCTAACATAGAAGATGGCCCATTGATGAAATGATTTACATATATTTACATTCAATTTGGTGATTGTCCATAACTATGTGAAATTACCCAAGAGATCCCAAAGAGTATCTTCTATTCATCCCATGTAGTTTTTTTCGCCATGGGATGGTGTTTCTTTATGGTGAGTAAATCCTCATCATCCCCTTCCCATATTTCGGCCACACGGCGACACGGCTACCGAGGAACTGCCGAGGTAGTGGTGCCCCATCCGGTTGTAAGCCGCGACCACCCCGTTCGAATCATCGCTGGATCACGATGTCGTGAACTTCACCCGCCTCGATGTCCTGGAGATGGTAACTTTACCCGTCCGTTAAAAAAGGTTGGTTGGTGAACTATGGACTAACTATGGCTGGTTGAATATGTGGTTAACTATGGACTAACTATGGACTAACTATTAGGTTGGTTAACTATGGTTGGTTGGCTAACTATGGTTGGCTAACTATGTTCGAAACGGATGGTATGTGAACTGTTGGATGTTTCTCAAAGTCGGACCACGCATCGCTTGACCGGAAAATGGACCAGACATCTCCGATCATCCAATTAGGATCTAATTATGTGGGACATACTTGGGATACAGATTTTCCTTGAGATGTTCCAAACCCCTAAACCCGTCCTTTATGATTGATTGCGATTGGTTGGTTAACTATGTAGAAACCATGGGTGGTTAACTATATTATGTTCCCTATGGTTAGTTAACTACGTATGTTAGAAACAGATGGTTGGTATGTGAACTATCCCATACGTTCCATGTATGGTATATTTACCTACATTTGGGTGATTTTTAGGGCAAATGTTGGTAAATATTCCAGCACCATGGAGCATATGGGTATGCTTTTTTTTTGAAAGTGATGTTAAAAATCCCAAAAACCAGGACATTCACAACCCCTGAACTACCCTCTGGTAAACGTTTACATGACTATGGAAAATCACTATTTTTACTAGGTAAATCAACCATAAATGACAATTTTCCATAGTTTTTTGTATGTTTACCAGAGGGTATGGTTCATTAAAATCTGAAACCGATGGGGCTGACAGCTCCACTCCTGTGCACCAAAGGCGAGCAGCGCGGCCTTTTTTGGGATTCTTCCGCAAGGCCTGACACCTGGAGCTGACGACGGAAAGAAGGGATGCTGGGAGATCTGGGTGACCGGAAACAAGATATGTGTATACATGAGAAAACTATATATATATAATACATTATACATGTATTGTAAGCACTTTCATTATCAATGTTTTGTGTAATATTATATATATAGTGTGTATATATATATTATATATAGAATTGATCATTCGCTATGGTTTATAACTGGAAAGTATACCCTCCGGCAATCTACCATAGCTATGGAAAGTGGCAAAAATGATTGCATGATCTATCTGTCAACAATCTTGATTTTCCATAGCTATCTTAAATTACCAGAGGGTTGTATTATATGCATTCCAAACTATAGCATGTTATGCATGTTTATTGCAAAAAAAACTATGATGAACTATCAAATTCTGGGCGACGGGAATTACATCATTATTTCAAAAGGATGTCAATCGATTTCAGATGATTTCAGGCAGAAAATGGCGGATTCGGACGGGAAATTTGGGGATTGCTAAGAGTAATAAACAATGCAATGTGATGTTCCGTGCAAAAATAGAGATTTACTGTAAACTATAATATGATTCAAGATTATGGTCCTCTAAAAATGGGATAGTTGAACTTCGGATAATGATTCAACTGAGGATGTAACATACCAACGTTAAATGCGAATCGATGGTGAAATGGTACCAAGTCCGTGGCACTTTGACCTGTGGAAGATGAAAATTGCAGCCTGGTGACAGCGTTCACTGCCAAAACCGCAGATTGTCCTTTGAGCCCAAAGAGTTGCGAGATGTTGCGAGGCCGCGAATGGCAGGCTTTCAGAAAATATCTGCTAGAAGCTACGAGCAGCACCTTGCCACAGATTGCTATCACCCAAGAATCGCTGGCTCTGTTCTGGGCTGCGAGGAAAGTTGGAACTGAATATACGTGGGCGTTTAGTGCCCTGCAGTCAAACAACCAAACTTGTGAAAGGCGAATGATTGACCGACGAAAAAGCACAACATGATAGCTTGGTGGAAGCCAAAGAAGGCAGGGCCTCACAAACACAGCTGCATACAGCTGTGATGAGGAGGTTCTTACGCCAGTGGAATCTCAAAACATAACATGGTCGTCCCAAATGCAAACATGACAGCAACGCAATGTCTCAAAAACAACACACATCTTTGCAAGCCAACTGTTTGCCAGTCTTGCTTCATCAAACTCTTAGATCATCCAAGAATTGGGTACCGATGATTCCAATGGGGGTCCCACTGGGCAATCATCGTGTTTCCCATTTAAACATGCCAAACATTTGGAGTATCGCCTCATTTCCCGACAGATCTTGGGCATTTTTATCCATGTCTCCCCCATTCTTCCAGCATTACAGTACCTGGCCACTATATCCATGATATCCCATGATATTCCCGTAAATTGTGCCCATGATTTCCATGATAATCATGATATCTTATGAAACATCTTCACCTGCACAGCGCGCGCGCGCGCCTGATCCATCATGACCAGGTGGCCCATGTGGACTGGGCTAAAAGCGCCCGGGAAGACGAGCTGGCGCGAGCTAACGCGTTTTTTACGCCCGCGGATCTGTGAAAGATGGTCAAAAACTTCATGGTGTTTACCCTCTGGTAAACGTTTACATAGCTATGGAAAATCACCATTTTTAATGGGAAAATCAACTATAAATGGCCATTTTCAATAGCTATTTTGACATAACCAGAGGGTAACTGGTTGGTGGTATACCTACCCCTCTGAAAAATATGAGTTCGTCAGTTGGGATTATGAAATTCCCAATATATGGAAAAATAAATGTTCCAAAGCACCAACCAGTTAAGTATAGTTGGGAGATTGATAATCTGGTTGGTGGTTTCAAGCATTTTGAAAAATATGAAAGTCAATGGGAAGGACTATCCCATATATGACATGGAAAATGAAAAATGTTTGAAACCACCAACCAGTAATGTTGTTTTATGATTTTTGGTGAATTATCTGGTGTATAGCTGGAAGTTTGAGAATTGCGTTTTACATCAGTTTTCACATCTTCACGTTTCCCCGTGAATACATACAAAACAAAATAACACTAGACATGAATAGACATGATGTTTCGTGATCATAGTAACTAACCGTTAACCATGATAATGAGAACAACAACCATCATACCCATCATCAGTCATCGTGATAGACCATCACATCTTCCCAAGTAATCAAAGATGATCAAATACCATCCAGCATCAGCAATCAACAATAATATCAAAATATCAGCAAGGATCGTCAAATATTGAATATGATCAAACATCATGAAATCATATGAAATCATCAAAGACTCCGTAGACCCTAAACGGCGCCCCTTTTTCATCACTTGGATTTGCTTCAGGAACCATCCCCAAAATCATAGATATTCATCATATTCACTTGATATCAACTGCCCAAGTAGTGGATGTTCCATTTTTCTCACTATCAGCAGATCATTCAGATCACAAAATGATGTTCCCAGCTAGGTTTCCTGGTTTCCTCCACTAAATCGATGGATTTTGCCCTGGTTTTTTTCATCGTTAAACAGGTCAGCAGTTCCACGGCCAGGTTTCGGCCACTCCTCTTCGTCAGCGCTTCGCTGAAGGCCTGGCTCAGATTTTTCACGGCACTTTTTCAATGGGATTTTGAGGGGTTTTGGATGAGTTTATATTGTATATATATATATATACAGTAGATGGTTTTAGATTATTTTAGATGATGTCAGATATTTTTGGAGTGTTTCATAGATGGTGTTGGATTTCAGATGATTTTTCGACCACTTTTGAACCAACAATTCGACTTGACAAATACAGAACTTGGTTTTACTACGGAAAAAAATAAACTCACCCACCAAAAAGTCTTAAATCTGATCCAGTTTGGGGGTGCAATCATTTTTAATCATACCAACATAGCGATGGATCAATGGTGATCTTACCAACCAAAACTTGGACGTGGCCAAGAAAAAATGTTAGGTTTGTCTCCACATGGGGGATGAACATCAGGCCACCAGGGTGATTAACCATTTTTCTGTATAATGTGTATATATATATAATATGTACATATTATACATTATACATATATATATATATATATACAAATGTACATATGGTGTGTATATATATATACATATACATACATACATATACATATATATATATACATTGTAATTATCCAATGTGAGCCTAATCCATCCATAAAGGGGTCACTGCAGTCTCTCACCATAGGTCATGCACAGACCATCGACATGCCCTTGGTTCAAGGCACCAGCTTCAGGGAAGCTAGGTTTGAGGGCGGGAGGGATCACTGCCTTGGAGCCATAACCTTTCGTAGGTGACGGGGTTCACCCAATAGCTGCATTGAGCGTGGCCGCTCATACCCAGTTTTCTACATAAGACGGCAGTGGACCATCCCTTTTGCCCAACCTTGTGCGGTGATCGCTACCGGGATCCAACTTGTGGTGGTCGTGACAAAAGGCGCGGAGGCGCTGCTGCTTGGAGGTTGCTTGGATCAGCTGGAGCACTACCAATTACATTGGTAGCGGAGCTGCCACAGTGCAGCATCCGGGGCCATGTCTGAAGCATCGTCAGGAGATGCCTCAACAACTGGAGGTGGCGTGAGCAACCAATTAGCCAGTTTGGTGCCGACGTTTGATCCATCAAAGGACGACGTGACCATGTATCAACAACGAGTTGAACTAGTGCTAGCTGCCTGGCCGAAAAATCGCATCCAGGAGCTCATTACGAGATTGATTCTCAACTGTCAAGGAAGTGCTTTTCAAAAGTTACAGCTTAACCACCATGAGCTGTCCTCAGGCGATGAGAAGGCCGTGAAGAAGTTGATTGAGCTTCTTGGAGGCTCATGGGGACGAATCGCATTGCAGAAGCAGTACGAAGAAGCGGAACAAGCCTTGTTCCACTGCAGTCAGAGGTCTGACGAAACCAATGACAGTTTTTTGGCACGTGCTGACATTTTGTGGAGCCGTTTGATGTCAAGAAAGCTGAGTTGGGAAGATCTGCAAGCGTTTGTGCTGTTGCGTGGCAGTACATTGTCCCCAGAGGAGAAGAAAAAGGTCATTCTCGATGCTGATAGTTCATCTACTGGGAAGCTGACGGTGTCTCGAGTTTCAGACGCCATTACTGTTAGGTGCTTCGTTCTTCGGTGACATGACGGGTCAAAAACGATCTGCAAAACTGAAGGTCTATGACAACAACACAGTACTGGTAGCTGAAGATGATGAGTCAACAGAAAACCCAGTCCTTGCAACGGATGAGATCGGCGAAGACGAGCTGATTGAGCAGCTCTTACAAGAAGGAGATCCAGATGCAGCCCTTGTCATAGACTATGAGGCCACAGCCCAAGAGGTTCTGCAAGAGGACAATGATCTTGCAAGTGCCTTTTCAGCCTACCAAGAAGCCCGACAGCGCTTGGCAGAGAAACAGCGTCACCGTGGTTTCTGGCCTCCCAGCAGGCCGATGGGGTCATTTCCTTCTCAACATGGTCGAAAGGCAAAGGTCGTTCGTCTCAGCAGTCTTTTGGAAAAGGGAAAGGCAGTTTTGTGAGACCAAAACGGTCACTCCAAGATCGTATCATGTCGTCAACGTGCAGAAATTGTGGCCGCAAAGGCCATTGGAAAGCCGAATGTCCGCACCGGTCTGAGAATCAGACGAGTAGTGCCGCATCCATGACAACAACCGCAGCCGCCACCACAAGTGTCACGATGCAATCCGATGAGGGTCTGGCCTTAGAGTTCCTGCAATTGCCTGAGTGTAGCCAGACCGCTCTTGACCAGGAGACCGGGCTAACCCGGGAAGCAGCCGTTTTTGTTGGTGCAGGGGTAATCCACCAAGGGGATGATAAGGCTAGGGGGATTTTGAGTAAATCTAGGGCCTTAGGAATCTCATGCATGTGGAACAGACTGCTCGCCAACGCCTCCAGAAGTGGGGTTTCAGGAGTGAAAACATCACACCCGTCGCTGAGATCCGGGATCACCTGAAGCGTCGCCGTGAGAGAAGTCAACACTCCGTTGTCCAGCCGTCCAAGAATTTAGGAAAAGACCAACCTGCCAAAAGTGAAAGTCTCCATGGTAAGAGAAGTCATGATTCCACTGCAGTGTCTTACTTTGCAACGCACAGCTCATATGGCATCCTGGACTTAGGAGCTTCCAAGACCGTAATTGGCACAGCCCAGCTTGCAAGTTTGATCAATGACCTTGAGCCCCAAGTGCGGGCCAAGCTGCAGAGGTGTCCCTGCAACATCACGTTCAGGTTTGGAAATGAAGGTACCTTGACGTCTAAGCAGGCACTGGTAGTTCCCATTGGCAACAGACTTCTGAAAATTGCCGTTGTCGAAGGAGGCACACCTTTTCTTTTGTCCAATGCACTCATGCGAGCGCTTGAAGCAAAGATTGACTGCCAGGCACGAAAGCTGATTAGCCCTATGCTAACAGAACCAGTTGACCTTCAACTTACGTCCAAGGGTTTGTTTCTGCTTGATTTAAATGATTTAGTCCGGCAGTCATGCAAGACCAGCGCACAGAAGCCAGTGACCGAGACCTTCGTTTCCGAAGAAGTGAAATCACATGCTTTGCAGGGGACCATGGAACATGTCAGAAATGTGAAGGAATTTCAAAACCCCGATGAAGAAGTTGTCAAGACACCTGCACACATCACACCATCACATACATGCCCAAGTAACAGCCAACATAACATGACCATGACTCAGGACTCCATGAACATGCCATGCACGAAGCTGACCATGCCTCACCATCATCAGAAATCAAATCCAAAACAGGTGCAGTTTCAGAGTGATCAGAGCCATCCACCCAGATCTCAAGATACGAGTGAGCCCACGACTTCGTGCAGTCAAATCCTGAGCGCCGAGCCTCATGTCCGACCTGACCGCCCGTCTGAAGGCAGTGCAAGCAGTGCAGGAGCAAGAGGTGAAGAACGACCTCGAGTACCTGACCTTGGCGGATCTGGAGAACGAAGTGGTTTCTTTCGGAGAAGCTCACCTGGGTCAAACCTACACCCAGGCATGGAGCGACCAAGAGTGGGTGAAGTTTATGACCGCTCGCTACCAAAAGAGCACGAAGGAATCCCACATGAAGTTCCTCCGATTCGTGGAGTTGAAGATCGAGATGATGGAGGCCGAGATGAACCAACGCCCAATGAAGCCAAAGACTCAAGGCCATGTGGTCTCAAAGGCCAAATGCCGCCCAGCCGCCAAAGCAGCCACAACATACACGGTGGTATCACATGGAGAGCCCATCGACATCTCTTCGCAGGCTGGGGAGGACGATGGGGTCTACGAGACCGAGATGTCCGAGACATGGACTATGAATGCCCCGACGGAGCAGCAGGAGACCATTCATGCTCTCCAAGCCAGGATGCTCAACATGGAGGATGCACTGCAACGAGTGATTCACCACCTCGAGAATGTCCAGCCCAAGAACAACTGAGTGATGAAGAAGGGATAGCTGATTTAATTGCCACAAGTGTCCATGAAGAAACTCAGTTCCTTCACAAGTTAATAGAACAGTTCACTTTAGAAATGAATGATGCCAACAGAGACACTCGTTCCATTGGCCCAAGATGGACACTTGGCGAGATTTTCAGCAGTGAACACTCTCCACTGACGCATCAGGTCAATCAGATGAATGCACGTGCGTTCCGATTTGGATATCAGCAAGGTGACTTGGAAACAGCACAAGGCAGGAGAAGTTTGTTTCAGATGGTGTTTAGACACCGACCCAAGCATCTCTGGTATTCTCCCACGTGCGGGCCCTGGTCGTCATGGACACACTTGAATGCATCCAGGTCTCTGTTCCATGAAGATTTGTATCATCAGAAACGACACGATCTCATGTATCAAGTTGCTCTTGGCATAGTGTTGTTTAGACACCAGATGTCGAATGGTGATCATTTTCATTGGGAACAACCTGGTCGCAGTCTCATGTTCCAGCTGTCGCAGATGTCAGAGGTCCACCGATACACCCAAGCATGCGAGCTAGACCTATGCCAAGCTGGCAACATGAGGGATCCCCAAAATGATAAACACATCAAGAAGAGCTTGGTAATCCTTACCACCAGTCGCGCTATGTATCAAAGATTTCATGGCCTGAAATGTCAGCATGATCATGAGCACCAAGTCCTGGAAGGGTCCACATGTGTCACCGGAAAAAAGGTCTTGCGCACCCAATACTCTGAGATATACCCAAGAAAATTTGCCCGTGCTGTAGCCCATGTCATGGTAAAGCATCCCAAAGAATGGCCAGTGAAATGGCAGCCTGGTATGTTAGCCTTGCATGATGCTGAGCCAAGTTTTGTTCTGGGTGCGGCTCGAAGGATTACCAAATCCAAATTCGAAACGTCAGAAGTGATCTACCCTGAGTCTCGAGCGTCCCCCGATGCCAAGCGACGCAAACTGACAGGTAAGCAGAGTGAGCTTCCCAGTTTAGAGATGTTCCAACAGGTAATCCAGACAATCACCCAAAGAGTTCCGAGAGTCGGAAAAATCGAAATCACCGATCATGAACTTTTGACCGAGTTGCAGAACCTTGTGCCACAAAAGCTCATTCAGCGAGTCCTTGCATGCCGTGGAACCGATCGAACATTGGGCCCTCCTCAAGGCATGATGTCCCAAGAGGCCCCATTCCGCCGATCCATAATGGTCATTCGAAGCACTGGCCGAGTTGCCATTGAAAAGAACTGGGAACGATGGGATCAACTTTCAAAACGACAACTAATTCGACCAGCTCATGCCTGTCGTTTGAACATAACAGTGTTTGCAACGGAACACCCATCGAGACCAGGAGATGGCACAGGTTCCACTAATGTTCCCGGACAGCCGTCCGACAGCCAGGGTTCAGATATTGCCATGCAACCTGACACGACCGTGTCGCCGTTCCCGCCGGAAGCAGCTGACCAATCGATTGAGCACCAAGACCATGCAGAACCTTCAAAGAATCCCATGACTGAAATCAAACATGGTCAACAAGGTATTCGATTCAAGATGTTGCCACAGTGGGAACAGAAATGGTTGATCCGTCCATAAGAACTTAGGCCATCCTTCAAATGATCGCCTAGTGAAGGCGCTGCAGATGCAGGGTGCACATCCTGGCTTGATCCAAGCCGCTCAGGAACTGGCATGCCCGATTTGCAAGTCACAGGAACCACCCAAGACTGCCCGACCAGCCAGGTTGAAACAAACCCTTGATTTCAATCATAGGATCTTCTTGGATGGTATTGACTGGACCAATAGCCAGGGAAAAACATATCACATGTATCATATCCTTGATGCCGGATCCAACTATCATGTAGCTGTGGTGTCCCCTTCCAAGTCAACTGAAAATCTCATTGACCTAATCAATAAACATTGGATATGTTGGGCAGGTCCTCCAAGTGCATTGTTTGTTGATGCAGGAACCGAAATGAATAGTAGTACATTTGAGCAGTTCACCAATCGTTTTGGAATCAAATGCAGTACTTCCGAACCTGACAGCCATTGGAAGAACGGACGAATCGAACGACATGGCCGTTTTCTGCAAGAAATGCTCACAAAGGTTGACCTTGAGTTTCCCATTAGGTCCTATAGTGATTTGCAGACCAGCCTTAACCAGTGTACCCATGCCAAGAACTCCCTGTCAATTCGCAAAGGGTATGCACCCGAGCTTATCGTGTTTGGTAAGCACTCCGGGCTCCCAGGGTCAGTTTTGAGTGATGAATCCGTTCCGTCTCATTTAAATGCTCTTTCTGAAGAGACGGAAATTCAGCCAAATGAATTTCGGAATATGCTCATGCTCAGAGAGGCAGCCAGAAGGGCCTACCACTCAGCTGACAACAATGATGTTCTCAGAAGAGCCGGTTTGCATCGATCATGCCCAGACCGTGGGGCATTCTGCCGTGGAGATTGGGTAATGCTGTGGAAACTTGATCAAAACGTCGATCCCCCAAGACACAAATGGTTTGGTCCCCTAAGAGTTTTCATTCAAGATGGGAATCAGACAGTATGGTGTACCAATGCTGGTAAGTTGTATCGGGGAGCCATTGAGCACATCCGAAGAGCTGTTCCAGAGGAAGGCAGTCCTGAAGGCTCTGAACTTCCAGAGGATATGACTCAAATTCATCAACAAATTCAAAACATGTCACGTGAAAACACAGCCGAACAACCAATACAACCTACTACCATACATGAGAACCTTGAGAGTCAACAAGAACCATCAACAGATGTTGCCACTCAACCCACCGAAGTCAATCAAGTACCCGACAATCCAACAGAAGGATCTCTTCAACAACCTGAACCTGAAAGTGAAGGCCACGGAATTGGATCACAGGAGTCCCATTCCAGTGACCCTGGAGCAATAGATGAGGATGATCCCGATCTCACAGCAGTGAACCTGATTTGCACAGACGCTCCGGGGGCCTTGCAAGAGCCTGAAGCAAGTGGTCATGCATGGCGCTGTGAGTTTGACATTCATGTACCATGTCCCATACAGGATCATGTACCCAATGAAGTAGAATCATGGACACTGCTAGCTACCTCCGTCAAGAAACAACGCACAGAGGTGCGATTGTCAGATCTCACACCTGCAGAGAGAGCTCAATTCGAAGTCGCCAAGGAGACCGAAGTGCAGAATTGGATAAAGACTGGAACAATTTCAAAAGTACTCCGTGATCAAATCCCCGATTCTCAAATCATGAAATGCCGATGGATCCTAACATGGAAAGAAACTGATCCTGCACCCGATACTCCATCGCAAGCAAAGGGTCGAAAAGCCAAGGCCCGGGTGGTGATCCTAGGATTCATGGACCCATCGTTGGATAGCATTCCTAGGGATAGCCCCACACTGGGACGAACCTCAAAAATGGTTGCACTCCAATTGGTTTCTTCCCATAAATGGTTGCTCCAATCCTTTGATGTAAAAGCTGCATTCCTCCAGGGAAAACCCAAGACAATCGGTTGATAATTGTTGATCCTGTCCCCGAACTCCGAAAAGCCATGAACATGTCTCATCAAGAACTTGCCAGGTTGAACAAAGGAGCATATGGCTTGGTAGATGCACCTTTCCTCTGGTATTGCACTCTGGTCGAAGAATTGACAAAGCTGAACTTCGAACCAAGTCCCATGGACCCATGCCTATTTGTGCTGAGACATCCGTCCACAAACGATCAGCCTGGTCACCTTGCTGGAGTGGTTGGCATTCACGTAGATGATGGCATAGGCGGTGGGGATTCCTATTTCAATGAACAGGTTCAGAAACTAGAAAAGAAGTTTCCATTTGGCAGTCACAAGACCAGCAGTTTTACGTTTACGGGAATTGATGTACATCAACATGGGGACTACAGTATCACACTTAGCCAATCAAAATATGTGTGCAAAATTCCACCAATCAAAATTGAGACCAATCGAAAAACCCAACCAACGCTCCCTGTCAATGAAGAAGAGAAGCTAGCTTTGCGGGGATTAATTGGAAGTTTACAGTATGCTGCGACCCACACTCGACCTGATTTATCCAGCAGATTATCACTTCTCCAATCATCCATCAACAAAGCGACAGTAGAGACCTTGAGTGAGGGAAACAAACTTCTTCATGAAGCAAAACATCATCATGATGTGACCATCACGATCAAATCAATCAGCCCAGATGACTTGAGATTTATGGCATTCAGTGACGCATCCTTCTCATCTCACAATAAACCTGATTCCCATGCCGGTCATATCATTGTAGCTACTCACAAAGCAATTGACTCCAATGTACCGTGTCCCATAAGTCCAATCACGTGGGGTTCCAAAAAGATTCAACGGGTTGTGACAAGTACACTTGCAGCCGAAACCATGGCATTAGCTTCTACAGTAGATCAACTATCATGGTTACGCATCTTTTGGAGCTGGCTACATGATCCACGAACCCAATGGAGGAAACCCGATGAGGCATTGACAAAAATTCCATCAGCCATTTCGGTAGCATCCCCAACTGAGCACCCTGATTTAACAGTAACGGATTGCAAATCATTGTATGATTTAATATCACGTACAGCTCCACCTTCTTGTTCAGAATATCGTATTCAACTGGTGGCACGAGCCATTAAAGAATCACTTGAAGAGGGCACAAAACTCCGATGGGTGCACACCGGTGCACAACTGGCCGATTCTCTTACCAAAGCAATGGAGGCACATTTCCTCCGAGCCACTCTGAAGCATGGTTTTTACCGGCTGACTGATGAGACCGCTCTTTTGAAAGCCCGAGCGAACACCAAGGATCGAATCCGATGGTTGAAGCAAACCAATACTGAGAGCGATACCATCAACTTGCCTCTTGACACTTCCGATCCTCAAAAGAAAAGTCAATAAAGAATAATTTTTGGGAGTGTAATTATCCAATGTGAACCTAATCCATCCATAAAGGGGTCACTGCAGTCTCTCACCATAGGTCATGCACAGACCATCGACATGCCCTTGGTTCAAGGCACCAGCTTCAGGGAAGCTAGGTTTGAGGGCGGGAGGGATCACTGCCTTGGAGCCATAACCTTTCGTAGGTGACGGGGTTCACCCAATAGCTGCATTGAGCGTGGCCGCTCATACCCAGTTTTCTACATAAGACGGCAGTGGACCATCCCTTTTGCCCAACCTTGTGCGGTGATCGTTACCGGGATCCAACTTGTGGTGGTCGTGACAAAAGGCGCGGAGGCGCTGCTGCTTGGAGGTTGCTTGGATCAGCTGGAGCACTACCAATTACAATACATACATATATATATATATGGGGAAATTATATATATGTATATATTAATCCACTAACCTGAAATAAGGCCTTTGACCAAAGAGGATCCCCCCAGCATGGTGCACAAAGGGGAGCCCGGGCAAGCGTTCGAATCCTGACTAAACAGCATGGCAAGATCTGATTGATCTGCCAAAATCTTTGTGATATTTCACAAAATGATTGAACCTGAAATAAGGCCATTTTGGGATGATTCCCCTTATTAACCATGTTTCCAGTGAGGTCGCAGTGAGGTCGTTATAATTTGCCCAGACATGTATACATATATATATATATATATATTATTTATTGATGTGTTCAAGTCGATGTCATTCCATTGATGTGATTTTCCCATGGGATTTTCCAGTAGTTCTTCCCACTTCAGAGTTGGCCAACCTGTCGGAACTGCTCCATGGGCCATTCCTCAGATTTTGCTGTTGCTGAACCATCCGGCACCATCTGGAGCTTCCCAGCCCTGGTCTTGGCAACTGGGTAGACACTGAAGTTTCAGCTAAGCAGCTGCTGGCTTTCCTGCCGAATCAACAGTGAGCAACAACAATAGGCGCAGGCTGGAAACACGTCCCTCAGCAAAATCTCATACATACATATATATATATATACATACATATGTTTGTATATTGTGTTAATATTGTGTATACCCTCTGGTAATTTAACATAGCTATGGAAAATCACAATTTTTAATGGGAAAATCCGCTATAAATGGCCATTTTCAATAGCTATGTTAGTTTACCAGAGGGTAAATATGATTAAATATTGACTGGCATATCATATGTGCAACGCATCTGCCTCCAGTCGCCATGCTGGGAATCCCAGTGCCAACCCGGACAGGTCTCTGAGCCGACACTGCAGAGATGGACTGGGGGAGTCTCAAGCAAAATGTCATGATTATAATGGATTATAATTAATGGGAAATGGGACATATAATTGATATCTGTATATACAATTGATATCACTGATATGTGATAAGATATAACTTATATAACTGATACAACTGATATAATTGATATAATTAATGATATGATATATAACAATACACCTAAAATATCCTAATATATCCTAATATGGTATGTGTGATATAGTCATATACCGTATTGTTCTTATCAAATTCATACTATTAATACTATCCCACTACTCTTGGTTAAATCACCACACATCGTTTCAATTTCGATGTTAAAATATACTCTGCAACTAGTCCTGGTAGGTCAAAAGATCAAGTGGATTGCATCGATGCCAGGGGCTTTCTCAGGAGAGTTTTCCAAATATAAATGTTGCAAGTAATACACTTGGATATCAGGCATCATATGGCATCATTGGATGATTGGATACAGTACCATAGTTGGGCATCATGACATCCAACTAAGGAAATATTCTGATTTATGATTATGATTCTGATAGTATATGGAGGTTTCCTAAAATATCAAGGTACCCCCAACTCATCCAACATTAGAGCATTTTCTGGAGCATTTTGGTATTGAAACTCATGGTGAATTGGGGGATCCCACCATTTCAGGAAACCACCTGCAATGATACCTGATATCATTCATTTGGATACAAATAGACGGCCACTGACTGCAGACTGGGGACAAAGCATGAGGCGCATGAGGCTGCAAAGAGCTGCTCATATTGAAGTTGGATCTGTTACAGTACTATTTTTTGTGTTTCCAGGCTATCCATTCAATGTGGGTTAACAGATTTCTCCTCATCTGCATTCATTTGCTGTTTCCACACTGTTCAATGCAAGTCAAGGCAATTCTGTGATCAAAGCAACCAAACTGATGCTGAGACAAAAGGCGTTGGCATCATCATCACCACCACCACCACCATCATCATCATCATCATCACCACCGCACCGCTTGTTTTCTGCACAACACTGGTCATTGGCCAATAAGCAAAGGAGCTACAAACATGGATGGGCCGGTTGGAGCCTCAAACTCTGGTGAAAGGTGAACACCGGTGTAGCTGGTAAATAGCAATCTACGCCTTTGTCATTACCAGTCCATTTCATCTTGTAGCAACCAATGAATATAACAACCCCGAGTTTCCCTGTGTCGATGTAAACAAATGTCTACATATATCCATATGTATATCAAATAATAATAATAGTAATAATAATAACAATAATAATATAATATAATATATATGTATATATTGTAATGTATGCATGAAATATGAATATATTACAGTAATAGTAATAACAGTTAGAGCAGCCCCCATTCCCAGCTGTTATTACCGTGCATCATGGAAAAATTGTATATCTATATCTATATATATATATATATATACATTATTATACATTGACATATACTACGGGATCTTGCTGCCAAGATCCAACAGATCTGAACAGTCTGATACTGATATAATCTGATATATATATATATATATACAAAGTTATACAAATATAGACATTACGACAAGGTACATCTATGATAATCTGATATGATATAACATGATTTTTTTGGATCCCAAATCGTTAGACAACATAAACACACAAAAACCCATATTAGTTAGACCTGAAGACAACGTCTTTTTCGCCGGCAAAACTTGATGGGGTTTTAGGTCAGATTTGTGCAGGATGATAGGTAGGATGCTATAATGCGGATGTTTGTAAACATAAAACCCAGGTTTGATCAGTAGTCAGAATCAAAAACTAGCCCAGGGTAAATGAGTCATTGGGATTTCTGGGAGATTAATTCAACATACTTGAAACACAAATGCCAGTGGGCTCATTGTACAACTTAGTGCTCAACTTAGTCTAGCCAGCAAAGCTTGCGACTTTGGACCCAACACAAGTGGCGGCTGCATCTTTGAAGCCCAGCCAAAGCTGCCACTGTATTTTTGGCTCAAACAGGCTGACGGATGATACATCATGAGCCATAGAGAAAAGGTTAAGTTATATTCCCAACTTATGGGGGTTATAAATATAACATGTTATATATATTTAAATGGTAGCTTTCTTTTTCCTAAGAATCACCCTGCAGCCTAGCTGAAGGCAGTGCTCAGAGTTTCACGATACTTTTGAAGAAGCCATCAGGCAATGTCTCACTTGTCTCTTCACTGGGAGGGTTCCTGAGAGGCATTCTGGCAAACTTGCCGACCGGGGTGCTGGAAGAAAGCCCACAGTTTACCCCAGGGGAAAAAACACATGGTAGACATTGATGCATTCTGGTGCTATTTGAGAGACATATACTCAGGATATAACACTAATTACTTGGATCTATTTGGCATGTACGGCTGTATATGTGCTTGGAGTCAACTAATGCAACCGGTCTCCTTTGTGTCAAGTCTGCGGGTCCAACATGGATATGTTGCGAGCGATTTGGCACATGGTCCCACAAGCACTCAGGGTGGGAACGCTAAACAATGATAGATTACCAAAACCTCACCGCGACAAGTTCGGCCGTTTGGGGATACTCACCCAACCGCTTCGCCATCATGTACCCTTGAGTGCCTGCTCATCCGTTCCCGTTGCTCCCGTTGCTCTCGTTGCTGTTGTTTTTGCAGCTTTCGTTGCTGGTTCTGCTCCTAGGCCCCAAGCTGGGCAGATTGCCACGGCGAGCAGTTCGTCCCCTCTTCAAGATGGTGGATTGACGGGGCTCCGGGAGTCCATGGTGAATTATGATCATCTTCACTCAATCAGTTAGTTAACCAGCTAATTCCCATCACATCCTACCATATTAATAAACATCAACCAACAGGCTTCCACACTTGGGACCCAGTTCGAACTGGGCCAAACCAAGGCCATGGCCAGCATGTTTTGAGCAAAGAGGTCCTGGCACAGCAGGGTTCCAACCATGAACCTTTTTGGGGTGGTAGTATCACTACTTAACCACCAGCAGGTGATAATTCGCCCCCACCAAAAAAAGGAGCCGCAATGAACAACTCCACAGGTCAAGTTTGGTGATCACATCCACCTTGAAACGCCGTGCTCACAATTCTATCCAAATCATTCCAAATCCATGCAACCTTACAGTACTCTCCAGTAATCATCCCCACTTTACAAAAGTTGATGTTTTTCCATGTTTTCCCAAGTTTTCCCACTAAACCTCGATGTTTCGTTCGGGGAGGAAACCCCACCTGCAAGGGCGGTAGCTGCGGTTCAGGCAGAAGTAGCCCCTGACCCTCCAAGGCCCGACTGGCCCACTCAGGGCTGCCAAAATCCGCGTCCTGGCATCGGAAAATGATGATGAGCCTGGGATTTTGGTGATTTTGGTGACTTTGGTGGTAGATATAACTATAGTTAATGGGAATTATAATGGTTTATAAACCAACTTAGCTATCTTGGGGGCCCCAGCCTGTGGGATTTTGGTGATTTTGGGATACTCCATCTTCGGACTAACAGCTTCTTAGACTTGTGTCCAGCAGACTCTACCAAACTTTGCTGTCATATCCCAGGCGTCACATTTCACCCGGCCAAAAAAAGTTCAGCCGCTGTTCAGCCTGCACTGCGGGCTGTTTCGGCGCTGGATGAGACCTCATCGGTGAGGTGTCAACCAAGCTGTGCTGAAAAACTCAACAGTAATCACAAAAAGTACCCCTTGGCAGCTTAACATAGCAATGAAAAATACCCATCCTGAATACTAGTATGTAGATGTAGGTAGATCATGTATGAATGGTACACAGCGCATACATACATATATATATAGGATCAGGTCTAGTGACTGTACATCCTGCTATCGGGAGTATATACTTTTTCTGGAGTACGACAAAAAAAAAGTATCTACTCGCTATCGGCGCAAATAGCTTTGTTCAAAAATACGGTATCCCAAAATCCACTGGTTTATGATATAATGGTTTATCTATATTTTCTCAAGAAGAATTGACATTTTGGGACATACCCCCTATTCCTGGGCAAAGCCAAATTTGACACTGAGAGTACTAGATCCACCACTGAGACCCACGCTTGCACTGAACATCTTGGGGCCTGCGTGTAACCAGGCGCAAACACGACTGACTGCTGGCAGACAACATGGGATCTGAAAGGAACCAGAAGTTGCAGGGTACTTCCGATTAAAAAAAAAACGCACAAACTACGGTGGATGGAAGAAATCCGGCACCAGTTGATACCTGGAAACCCAGGTGTCCTATTAAAATAGTACACAGTGCCACTGTGGACGGTTTTCAGTGTGGAAACCAGCAACTGCATCTATGGCATGTTTTGACACTTTGCTCGAAGCAGCATTTTCAGAATATACATATTATATATATAAGAAAAATAGGTGCATACATCATATGACATCAATGGATATCAAATTTGAAATCATATCATATATACCATATGTCTATCACAGTAACCTTACAGCCCTCATATCCCCACATCACACCACCTGCCAGCCTGATTTTTTCAGCAATCTGCAAAGAAAGCTTCATGCGGTATGAGATGGAGACACCAGAGGACCGAGCAGGGCGGATGGGAAAAATATGATTGCCACACCAACTTCCATATGAGATCATGAAAACTTGGGGTCTATAAAACATTTCCTCCCTTCACCATCTCATGGCCAATCCTACCTGGTATTTTTGGATGGTCCTTTCATGGACCGTCCGTACACTGACCATGCGGCTAAAAGTCGATATAGTGCCAACAAAATCTTCGTCAGCCTGAGTACCCCAGGCCAGTGGGTTGACGGATGGGCGGTTTTCGCGCTGCTGCACCTCTAACGGATGCAGGATCTCTCCGAAAAAGTGGAGTTTGGGTTGAAATTTCCACCGCGTAATCCCCCACGCAAATGCTCTTTGAGCGCAATCCCTGTAGGCATTGGCACAAGTATGCCCAGAATCCAACAAAAGATCTCGCTCAGAAGGCTTGAGAAACAGCGCTGCCTGATACATACAACTAAAAAAGGAGTTTGCAGCAGCCACTGTTGAAAGCATTGCTTTGAAGTATTGCTTTGACTCCGCATCTATGTGTGGTATCTCCATCTCAATACGTTCCTCCAAAAACCGTAGGAGGGAAACCGTGTCTTGTCCCTTGAACCAATTCCTTGGGCGCAGCGCAGTTTTGAAAGGGAAAAACGAGCATATCTATATTCTTCTTTTGGGGGGATAAAGAAAAATTCACCATGTATATCCAAATGTCGCAGTTGGATACTCACTGGATTTGCTATATCCCAGCAATGTGCGAGTCAAACCAGTCATATGAAGTGAGAGATGTTTTCTCGAACAGAAGTCCTTAAGATCTTCAAATATAGCCGCGCACTGGTCATCAAAAGCACCACCGTAAAACTCCCAGTCGAAGCAAGACACCTCAGGTAGCAGTGGGATGAATTGGTTTTTTTTTGTGTACTAAAGCCAAGAGTTTGGCAAAAAAATGTGTCGTTGGGTTATACCTCACAGCTCTCCAAATATAAAGAACATCTCTACCTGAACACCGTGCAAGGGGCAATTGCGTTGGCAGCAATATCTCCAAACAATCCCTTGTGCAGTGTGTGGAATGGATCAGCACGAAAAAAACCAGGTTTGTCACATGGGTCCAAAGGAATAGCAGAAAGGATTGCTGGTTCCCGCTCCCATGGCAATGTGTTGTTCACCCGCATGGCCACCATGTTCTCATATGAAATGTCATGCCATTTTTTGAATCCGGCTTGATCAGCACGACAAAGATGACAAATTCCTTTGGCCTTTTCATTATCTTGAGTCGATAAGCGCCCAAAGGATCTAGTCAAAGATCCAATTTTTACAAGAGCAGGCCAGTCCCCTTTCAGTGCTAATGGCACTAGATACCACCTTTTCGTTTTGTCACCATAAGGTACATCGATACCGTGGTAGAAAGCCACCTTCAACTCATTTGCCAAATGGCCCATGAGCTTCAAAAGAGGTTTGTTTTTCTGTTTTTTCCCTCCATAGACCCTGCCAAGCATCACGGACCACAAAAGACGTGTGACCAACGTGTTTCCTAGCATGTTCAAACCAGGTTCCTCAGGTGTGGCCTTCCGCTTGCGGGTTCCATGTCCCATGACCGGCTGGAACTGGATGATCATAATCGATTTTTTTTTCAATGTTGTCCCTTCATCACAGTGTATTGCAATTGGTATGCATTGCCCAGTGCGGCCTTTGTGGGTCATATATAGCGGGTGCTTTGGCTGAACTTGTTCCCATTCTTTCCAGAAGGAATCGAAATTCGACTCAGAGTTTCCCATGGTCAGCAGTTCCATCTTGCCATGGACCCCCAATCTCTGCACAGTATCCGATATAGCTAGGATTGGATGTGCCGATTTCAACCCAACATCCACATGGGAGATGGGGATGTCAGCTGCCAAACCATAGCTCTTAAAGGATTCTGAAAACCTTTCTTCATGCCCTGTTTCAGATAAGCGGGTGGCCAAAGATAAGAAGTGAGCGCTTTTAGGCTTTGAATCTCCAGCCAGTAGTGGGGAAAATTCCTCCCAAAAAGCCCGGCCAATAGCACATGCTTCTTTCTCATTTACCTGAATTGGTACGGAAGGAGTCAAGAATATAAGCGACCCCCAAAACCTTTAATTTTGCATTTAGGGGGGACATAAGTGGAAAACTTGTTCAAGTCAAACCCAAACCAGGGTCCCCATGAGCCACCGCAGTAGCAATTGCTTTTGCAGCAGGACCACATGGAAGCCGTTTTGGCCCTGGTTCACCTGCAGGAGAAGTGCGGCCAGCACCTGCGAGGGGGGAGAAGCTGTAAAGTCAAATGTGCACACGCGCACACACAGATATATATATATTATATCAAATAAATATACAGGGATATACTTCAGCCATCAACGAACATGCTCGATGAACATTTGGAGCACGAACATTTTCCACATGTCCCCTTGCCACAGGCTTGTTTGCCAGTCATGGGAGCGGTTTCACGCACGTATTGACAAATACGCGTTTCCCATGTCGTACCCTCAAGTATATGGAACATACTCAGCAGGCAGTGGTTCCTGCCAAGCTAGGTTGGCTAGATCTGCATGCCAAACAAGCGGCCCAGTCAAAGTAGGCACCTGGAATGCACGGCTGGCAGGACCAATGGCTCGAATGTCATCTTGCAGGAAACTTGGACTGTAAGTGTTGGCAAGAAGCAACTGACAGATTTTCAAAAAAAAACACGTGCAACGTCATATGGCCTATTTCTTCTTTGCTGACTTTGTCTTTTTCTGTCGCTCTTGTTTTGGGGGTTCTTCATCATCATCCGGCCAATCGCCGGCATCCTCATTGTCATCCTCATGCGCACAACTCTTGCGTTTTGACTTGCGGGCTGAGGCTTTCGGCTTTGCTTTGGCCTTTGCCTTCGCCTTCGGCGCAGCAGGCTCCGCACCTTTGGCTTCTTTCATGGGCTTCAGCAGGGTCCTGGGCAGGAATGGAAAATGGTTGGGTGCTAGATTGCAAAAGGTTGATTGGACAATTTTGCCTTAAAGAAATGATGAGCTCCGGACTTTCGGAGCTTCGTATCTTCCATCATCGCGCGCGATGCCCTGGATGAAGAATTGGGCAATTTATGGAAATGGAGCCCCATTGAAAACTTGGTTGGTGACGGATAAAGTTCTCAACTTAGGCAATGGCTCAGCTTCAACCTTTTCGACCAGGTTGTCCAATGCCTTCACTTTCCTAGGGCTGACCCAGATATACACTCTCATAAGCGTGGTTGATCATCAAAACAAAATCAAAATTTGTGAGATATGGTCATTGATTTTTTGATGCAGCAAAAGCTCCCTTCATCAAAGGAATCAGAACCCCGACCATCAAAGTATGACTTGAGATCAGCCAATTGGTCATGGTAGGTCATCAGCGAAGCCCGGAACGTGTCAACGGCCGAAATGCTCCTTGGATTCGTGTGGGCAGCCATCGCTGGGAGAAAGACTTGAAAGGTTTCAAGGGATATGCACACTGGCAATGATCCATATCACATACATAGGTTCCTTGCAAAGCCAAAGATGAAATTATTCAGCTAAACTTCTTTTGCACCTCAGGCGTTTGATCTAATGCCATCAACTTCTCACGGTCAGTATCCAGCTTGCAGCTGACGCGCAAAACGTTTGCCATCACAGGTCCCACATTCTCCACAGCCTCCCGGGAATCTTGCTAACTCCAAGTATACACATAAATATAAAAACAAACGCACGTATCTTAGAAGATATATATATATGAATTAGTATGTTTTACATAAGTATACATAACAAACTATATATATATAAATATATATCAGCATTTTACATATACATGTATATACATACATATATATATATGTATATTATATATATATGTGTGTGAAAATGAAAAATATATGTATTGCATCCAACCTGATACAGATTTTTATATTTAAAACTTATATATCCTTTGGCCCTATTAGTCCGTGTGAATCATACCCATTCGCAAATCTCCTATTGTGATAAAAATCCCGCCTCAAGAGCATGCTCCCGTTCAGCATCATTCTTTGGTGGGACCTTAGCCCTTGACTTAGAGCTACCTGCGCCATCGCCATCGTCTTCCGACACATCCATGTCCGTGACATCTTCAGGTTCATCGCCTTGGTGATCAGCCAGGACCTGTGAGGCTGGGAGACCAAGAGTGAAGGAATCTCCGGCATCACCCTCACCAATGGTATGATCATTAAGCTCCTCAGCTTCCTCAGCTTCGAAAGAACCGGTGGTCTCAACATCCACCCAATACTCTTTGATGTTGCTTTCATACTTGTCGCGCCTAACGGGGCAGGAAGCATGATAAAAATAATGTTTTTCGACAATTTGGCATTATGCAACTTTAGTGAACCATGCCTCACATATGTCTTAGCTCTGGATGGCTGGGTGCAGAACTTCACAGCTGCTTTGATTCGGGACCTTGGAGTATTGGTAGCAAAGACCATGGGGACAGGTAAAAAAATCTGACAAATTGGAACAATAACTGAGATGCATGATTTTTTCACATTGGAAGTCATGCGGCTGTAGAAAACTAAGTAATGGACGCATTCCACTTCAATTGTGTACGCATTTTCTCTTTCGTGTAGAAGCCCTTCTGAACATGTAGCTTATTGCGACGGGATCTCTTCTGTATGTGTTCAATGCGTTTCTTGAACAACTCCTTCAGGGAAAACAGGGGTTATTAGACTATATTACACTAACGTTGAGAATGTTTGGGCAAGATGTCGCATACATGCATACCACACTGAACAAACCCCAGTCGGTCCCGGTTCCCATCAGCATTGATCAAGACTTTCAAAAGGGCTTTCCTTTGGTCTCCACCCAATTTCCACTGCTTGTACACCTCCGGTGACACCTCCAGTTTCCCGCTTGATGGTTTTGGGCAGCACAAGCGCCGAAGTGATGCGCTCATTGCATACATCTTCTTCGTCTCTTCATCCATGGCCTGCAAAGGCGGGCGCACACCAGATCTATCTATAATATATCAATCTGTGTAAAATGTGTGTGTATGTGTATGGGTACCCTTTTCTCAAAACATATAATGTGGAGCATTTGTTTCAGATCATTGTGTTATGAGAGTACCCACCTCATGGTCGAGAATCTTGAAGGTTATCCCCAGGTATCGCAAGGGTTGTCCCCATGGCCTTCTTGGTACGTGGCTCCACTTCATCCGGCTGCAGGGCCTAGGCAATGGAAGGAACTGTTCCACATGTTTTTACTTTAAAAGTTGTAGTTAACAGTAGGGGAAAAGAAATTATATAGAGATATATAGAGCATAGTGAAAGTAATTATATAAATAGACAAACCCTGTGGACTCTCAAATTCCCGGGTTTCAACCATGTAATGTACTTCGATCGATACTTATATATCACTTGGTGCATTTAACTTGGGCCCCATACCTCCTCACAAGCACTGGCCAAGTCAGCTGTGGCTGCACGAAACTGCGTCTTGTCCTGAGGCCACAGATGAACTGGACGACTGCAAAAGGAGTTTGGGTATGGGAAGACACTTGCTTGGAAGGTTTGTTTTTTGTGTTTATATATATATAAGTTGAAATTTACCTATCTGTATCCATATCATATCACATACATATATATATATGTTATATATATATATATAATTAAATAAGGGTTTCCTAAAATGGGTACACCCCCAAATTGTGAATTGTCCACTTCGGTTGGTCCCCCAAAAAAGGCCCCCACAAGTCTCAAAATCTTTAATAAAATGCAGGGAAAACACTGTTTTTTGGGGACTTGTGGGGGCCTTTTTTGGGGGGACCAACCCAAGTGGAAATTTACCACCCCAAATCATCCAAGCTTAGAACATGTGTGAAGTGAAACCTATGATTTTGAGGATCCCCCTATAGAAAAACAAAATTGAAGCTGGTGGATGAATCCCCAAAACATTCAACATGATTGGGTCCTTCGAATTGGGAAGTTCTGGGGACTTGCAGGGAACACGACGATCTGGTCCATCACTGGGGCATCTCTGCACTGTGGTGGGTTGCTTGGGTGACGGTGTCTCAAAGCTCCCGGCGGCAAAGCTTGCTGCAGGAGAGAAAGCTATGGATTGCGCCTTCAGCTTCTGCAAGCGTGCTCTGGCAGCCTGGGTGGTTTGGAGTGATCGATCAGCATAAATTTATAGTATCATACTGGAGTTTGAAGACCAAGACGTTTGAAAAATATAAGAGATATATTAAACTGAAACAGTTAATTTGCTGCCTATATGCCGTGGTGATGTTTTGGATGGATTTGATGTTTTCCGGGCAACATGTCTCTGTGCAGCAAAGTACAGCCTAGAAACACTCAGAAGATCATCGCAGTTCATATCTTTGTGAGCAGCTCGCTGTTCAGAAAGGAAAGATGACCCCCGCAACAGGGTACTACATGACCATTGCCGAGATGGAAACGTTTGTAAAGGTTTGGAAGCCATTACGGCCAAAATCCTTGACCTACCACTCCTGTTGAACCTCATCGGAAAGATGTTTAACCATGGTTCCCATGCAGCATGTGACATGATTGCGCACTGACAAAATCAATCAAAACATCAATCTTTCATTGGTACGATTCAGCGTGCCCTTTGTTGTACATAGGCATTGAAGAACGCCCATGAATTGTGCAACTTCAGTTGCAAAACACGGGACCTATGCAATCCATGCCCAATCCCAAGACAAAAGCACCGTCACTTTTGGGGCATCTACCCATGACTGGCGCGTAAAATCCTACCCCTGCAGACCCCACCAAAGTGTACTATTTTGGGAGTAAAATTTTACGGATTTTTACGCCACTTTTACGCCTGTTTACGCCACTATCCCCAAGACCTGCCACAGTGTACTATTTTTGGTGATATTTTTCGATCAGTAAAAATTCCGTTAATGACGTATTTTTTTGCGAATCAGTGGTTTTGAGCAGGGTTGGATTTTGCAATTAATCTACGATAGTGGGTGGTTCAGGTGGAGATTTAGGCAAGTACCCTTCCCACTCTTCAGGGACAAGAATTGAAATCCCGGCGCCACCCCTCAAATATTGGAGCACTTCCGGCATCTGTGCCCTTTCCCAGGCATCACATCGAAATTCCTGATGAACGAGGAACAAGGAGCCTCAGCTGTGGGCTGCATAGTGCTGTGCTGTTTCAAATAAGTTTGGGAAATCATGAGCTTCCATTATTATACAAGCCGGAGAAACATAAGAATGGTCTAGGAGTGGAGACCTCTCATTCTTCAGGTGCTTCACTGTTTGTGCAAATCGAACGCCGAATCCAATTGGATATTGCCTCAGTTGGAAAGATTATGATACTGTAATTGTGCATGCTCAACAAAGCACTCAAGTGCGCTTATTGCAACATTTTCTGCAAAAACATTGGAAGCAAGTTACTGGCTGGCACGCAAAGCTTTATTTCCTTTGTACCGCTTACGCCCCGTTGCATCATAGTAGATGTCGGCCAGCTTCTTAGAAGATTTCTTCCCCTTGGCTTTTTTGGTGGTGGAAAAGAACCTCACCGCACTGGAGTTTGCCCACAGGGTTGTCCTCTTGGCTGTGCTGCTACCCCAACCACGCATCCAAAAGGATTGCTTGAATACCTTGGGGTAGGCTGAGGATGGGATGTACAGCATCACTGTCTGGGTCAGGGATGAACTTGTGTTGGATTGGTTTCATGTCCAAAACCTTGGCCTACAGTACCGGATGAATTCAAAGACCCAAAGTGAATATGAATTCCGTCCTTCAAAATGTTTTGCCAATATAGAGGTTGAAGTAGCATAGAAACCCTTACAAATGTCCCATATCAACTGTTTTGGGGATTGTATGTGCTGTAATTGAATTCAAGGGACTTTGGTGGTACGGCACATTTTTTGAAAACAATCCATCCTGAAGACCAAGCTGGAAAATGGTTGCTCCAAAACCCAAACTCCTTTCTTTGCCATCACCAGGAGCATCGCCAAGTAAGTCCTGGACAATCGCTCGGGAGCCCAGCAACTAAACCTTGACACATCAAATGATATGCATATATATTTGATTTTTTTCCCGTTGGCTTGCCCAAAAAGCCAAAAACAGCCAAAAAGGAACCCCCCCCCCCGGGGGGGGGGAGGGGGGTTCCTTTTTGGCACTTTTTTCTTTATGGAGGTTTTCTTTAGTGGTGGCAAACCAACGGGGAAAAATTGCTAGCATATATAATTGCATATAACTGCATATATTATATACATATATATTTATAGCGACGGACTGAAACTTAGAATGCCATTTTGGAACCGTACCCACTGGAAAAAGTTGCGGCAAAATCTAGAAATATGTGCTCCCGCAACTTTTGTACTGTGTTTTTCACCAATTGGCTCTTGTAATGTTAACTTAGAATGCGTGTCAGGTCCTTTTCTATTTAGACATGCTTCACTTGTTCTATAGAAATATGTGCTTTGTACTGTGTTTTTTCACCAATTGGCTCTTGTAATGTTAACTTAGAATGCGTGTCAGGTCTTCAACTTCAGTAGGCTATCTCAATTATTTTATATTTAATGGTTCAATTAGACGGCGGTAATACCATCATAGGAACAGAATTTATCAAACTTTTAGCAACTGGTTCATCTAACCTTGCTACTGAAGAATTCGTAAATACGGCAATCATCAATGGAGGGGGTGAAGGTGTTAATTTAAGTAACTACTATGATAAAACAGATATTTGAAAACTGAGGGCCCCTTCTAAGTTTCGATCCGGAACTATACGTATTGCCTGGGGCAACCATGTTTACCCATCTGAAGGGTTTTATCAAAACCTTGAATATATAGTGCCGGATTGAAACTTAGAACTCCGGAACGACACCGCGGCCAAAATCTCACCGCAGAAGACAATTTTATACCCCATAGATTTTCATACTAGAGTTAGAATGTGGCAGCAAACCGTAAGGAGTTTATCATATTTGAGCACCCTTATGTAGTTTGGAGACCAAATCTGGCAAACTTAGAATGTCCATATATGATCACAGGTGTTCATCGGCTCTGTGAAAATACGCCTGGCCACTTGAAAATAAGGTTTATAGAAGCTCTATGGAGGATTTTTGAGGGATTTATGGAGGATTAATGGAGGATTTATGGAGGATTAATGGAGGATTAATGGAGGATTTATGGAGGATTTATGATGGATTTATGAAGGATTTATGGAGGATTTATGGAGGATTTATGGCGGATTTAGGCAATTCATTTGTGAATACTACAGTTCCAAGAAAGTTCACTTTATGTGTTCGTTTTCAATTAGGCAATTCATTTGTGAATACTAAAGTTCCAAGAAAGTTCACTTTATGTATTCGTTTTCAACTAGGCAATTCATTTGTGAATACTACAGTTCCAAGAAAGTTTACTTTATGTATGCGTTTTCAATTCGGCAATTCATTTGTGAATACTAAAGTTCCAAGAAAGTTCACTTTATGTATTCGTTTTCAATTAGGCAATTCATTTGGGAATAGTAAAGTTCCAAGAAAGTTCACTTTATGTATTCGTTTTCAATTAGGCAAGTCATTTGTGAATCCTATAGTTCCAAAAAAGTTCACTTTATGTATTCGTTTTCAACTAGGCAATTCATTCGCGAATACTAAAGTGGCAAAAACATCACTTTATGTATTCGTTTTCAAGTAGGCAATTCATTCGTGAATACTAAAGTTCCAAGAAAGTTCACTTTATGTATTCGTTTTCAATTAGGCAATTCATTCGGGAATAGTAAAGTTCCAAGAAAGTTCACTTTATGTATTCGTTTTCAATTAGGCAATTCATTTGTGAATACTAAAGTTCCAAGAAAGTTCACTTTATGTGTTCGTTTTCAATTAGGCAATTCATTTGTGAATACTAGAGTTCCAAGAAAGTTCACTTTATGTATTCGTTTTCAACTAGGCAATTCATTTGTGAATACTACAGTTCCAAGAAAGTTCACTTTATGTATTCGTTTTCAATTCGGCAATTCATTTGTGAATACTAAAGTTCCAAGAAAGTTCATATGTATTCGTTTTCAATTAGGCAATTCATTTGGGAATACTAAGTTCCAAGAAAGTTCACTTCATGTATTCGTTTTCAATTAGGCAATTCATGTGGGAATATTTGGGAATCCTAATTAGGCAATTTTCAGTTTCATTCAGGTGTCTATTTTTGGAGTCAAACACGAACACCAAAGGAAAACCAATGAAAAACCAATGAAAACCAATGAACAAAAACAATGATAAGCAAAGAACAACACATGAACATTTTTGAGAACCCAAAAAAAATCTATGAACAAATCAAGGAAAAACGAAAGAGAACCACAGAAAAGCCAATGAAAAACCAAAGAAGGAACAATGAAAAACAATGGAAAACCAAAGACAACTTTGCCAGCATTCTAAGTTACCTTTTGCCAGGGATTTTTGGTCCCTGTGTTTTCGAGGTTTTCATCTTTAATGGGGAAAGAAGTAAGAGACACTTTTGAGGAAAAAAAGGAATCTTGAGGTGCCTTGGATCCTATATGTTCACAAAACCCTGTAAATATGCAGTAAATTGCATTGTTTCTTGCATATGTGCTTCAAACGGAGTGGAGTTATTTTTCTGTTTGCTGTTTTTTGGGGGTTTTATGGAGGAAAAAACACTGGCAGGAGAGAACTTAGAATGCCATGTTAGACCTAAAATATGCATTTTGTATGGCAATACTGTGGTTCGGGGTCTGGCACATTGAAACATTCACACGCCGGCATTCTAAAATACCCTTAAAAACAGGGTTTTTGGCGGCATTCTAAGTTCAAAAATCATGTTTTTTTTTACAAACTGGGCGGCATTCTAAGTTTCAGTGTGTCACTATATATATATATATGTAGCTATTTATCTATGTATACATATATAAATATATACTTGTTTTGGGTTTGTGTTCTTTCAACTTCCGACCGCCAGCGCTAAATGCGGCTGTCCCAGCTTTGTGTGCACTGCCAGGCACACACAAGAAAACCAGCAGCATTGTTTCCCAAGAACAGACATCAGGGTTTATCTATGACAATTTTATAACCCATAGATTTTCATACTAGAGTTAGAATGTGGCAGCACACCGTACGGAGTTTATCATTTTGAGCACCGTTATGTAGTTTTGGGGCCAAATCCGGCAAACTTAGAATGTGTACATATGATCATAAAATATCATATGTGTTCATGGGCTCTGTGAACATATGTTCGCTTTATACCCCATAGATTTTCATACTAGAGTTAGAATGCCGCCAACACACCGTAAGGAGTTTATCATATTTGAGCACCCTTATGTAAGAAAGTTCACTTTATGTATGCGTTTTCAATTCGGCAATTCATGTGTGAATACTAAAGTTCCAAGAAAGTTCACTTTATGTATTCGTTTTCAATTAGGCAATTCATTTGGGAATACTAAAGTTCCAAGAAAGTTCACTTTATGTATTCGTTTTCAAGTAGGCAATTCATTCGTGAATACTAAAGTTCCAAGAAAGTTCACTTTATGTATTTGTTTTCAATTAGGCAATTCATTCGCAAATACTAAAGTGGAAAAAAAAATCACCAAAGAAAAACCAATGAAAAACCAATGAAAACCAATGAACAAAAACAATGATAAGCAAAGAACAACACATGAACATTTTTGAGAACCCAAAAAAAATCTATGAACAAATCAAGGAAAAACGAAAGAGAACCACAGAAAAACCAATGAAAAACCAAAGAAGGAACAATGAAAAACAATGGAAAACCAAAGACAACTTTGCCAGCATTCTAAGTTACCTTTTGCCAGGGATTTTTGGTCCCTGTGTTTTCGAGGTTTTCATCTTTAATGGGGAAAGAAATAAGAGACACTTTTGAGGGAAAAAAGGAATCTTGACGTGCCTTGGATCCTATATGTTCACAAAACCCTGTAAATATGCAGTAAATTGCATTGTTTCTTGCATATGTGCTTCAAACGGAGTGGAGTTATTTTTCTGTTTGCTGTTTTTTGGGGGTTTTATGGAGGAAAAAACACCGGCACGAGAGAACTTAGAATGCCATTTTAGACCTAAAATATGCATTTTGTATGGCAATACTGTGGTTCGGGGTCTGGCACATTGAAACATTCACACGCCGGCATTTTTTAAATACCCTTAAAAACAGGGTTTTTGGCGGAATTCTAAGTTCAAACATCATTTTTTGTACAAACTGGGCGGCATTCTAAGTTTCAGTGTGTCACTAAATATATATATATATATATATATGTAGCTATTTATCTATGTATACACAAAAAATATTTTTGGGTTTGTGTTCTTTCATCTTCCGACCGCCAGCGCTAAATGCAGCACGATGCATGGCTGTCCCAGCTTTGTGTGCACTGCCAGGCACACACAAGAAAACCAGCAGCATTGTTTCACAAGAACAGACATCAGGGTTTATCTATAATAAAGTTCCTTATTTTGCGCCATCAGAAATGGAGGAATTCACACACACACACACACATATATATATATACGTAAAAAACATCCTCGGGTGTAAACTTAGCATGCATTTCACAAATAATCAAAAAAAGTTTTTTTCCCCGGCAAGTGAGATTTACGTGTATATATATATACACGTTTTCGTCCACCTTACCCCCTAAACTTAGAATGCTTCATTCGTTGACCCCCATTCTAACACGGGTTTGGAAACTGGGGGCCCCTTCTAAGTTTTAATCCGGTACTATATTCAAAAAGCTTTGAAAGCACAGCGCAATCGCACTCTCATGCCAAAAAGTTTGGCCCTTTTTCACTCTTTCCCTCGAAATCCCAGCGTTTTGTTTGCTCTTGGAACGGTCCTGTATCCCTTCCTGTGCACAAGTTTGGATTCCAAAATATTGAAATGGGTGGTTTTGGAATGATTTACTGCCTTAATTTACATTGAAATGGGTGCCGAATCTCTGAGCAACAGGGCAAAAACCCCTGAAATGTCTGCATCAAAAGGTATCCAAAAGAACAAGTGAAGCATGTCAAAATAGAAAAGGACCTGACACGCATTCTAAGTTAACATCTGCAAGAGCCATTTATCGAAAAAATACAGTCAAAAAGTTGCGGGAGCACATATTTCTATATTTTGCCGCTACTTTTTCCAGTGGGTACGGTTCTAAGTCACGACGTCACCCCCGAATGAACGAGGCGGAATTTTGAAATTAAGGGGATATGTATGTAAGTATCCAACCCTCTGCCTGTACCCGATCTGCATGAGGGGGTTTGAACTAGGAACTTGGAATGCTTTGGGATATATTTCTGGTCAGTCTATAAACTGTTTGTGACATGTTTTGGCCTCAAATATTGGGAAATATTGGGAAATATTGTGGTGTTCCTAGCGACGGACTGGAACTTAGAATGTCACATGTGGCGGCATTCTAAGATACCCCATTTGGATGGCATTCTAAGTTCAAACCACTAAATTTTGGAAAACTGGGCTGACATTCTAAGTTCCAGTCCGTCGCTATATTTAGAAATATATTATGTATATATATATTTTTTATGTATTTAAAATATTGGTTGAATCCCTGAGAACCCCAGTCCTATAGGCCAGGAGGTTTCCTTTTGCAACCGACGGAGATGAAACATCACCATGTGGAAGGAAGTAGCTTCTGAATGTTGATCCCCGTGATATAGCTACGAAGGAACTGCAAACCAACCCGAAGGAAACCACCACTCCATCTTTCGACTGCAGGATTGCCAGTAGGAGAAGTCTTAGTTGCAAAATGTTTGACAAATACATCACTTAAGATCACCAAGGAAAAAAACAAAACAAATCCACTGGTTGACATACAATGATAATTCTTTGGACAAGAAACGCAAACCCTGCTGGTGAAAGCAAGTCGAGGGGATTGCCCGTGCATGACTTTCGGATACGTTTGGTTTTCAACCCTCTAGCTTCCATCCATGGCCACCACATGCCGATATCCAGGCTGCAGGTTTGAAAACCAGCACATTGGAGGCATCTAGTCAATGCACCCGCTCCAGCAAAGACTTCCACACAGTCATACTGTGCCTGGCAAGGGCAAGAATTGGGATTTACAGACCCCCTTGCATGGATCAAAAGGGCTGATAAATATATGGGTGTCCTCCCGGAAGAAAGATAAAACTTTGTTCATTGGGTAACTATACTTATTTTGGGGTATACCTGGGATCCATGAGAAAAAACTTAAGTTTGGCAATTACTAATCCATTCATCTCAAATGTGATGTTAATTTCGATGGGACCGAGCATGTGCCCCTAAATACACCTGTAGATACCTGTAGTTAGCGGCCAGTGGGTGAGTAAGTATACATAATATATATATATATATATATACAACGCTATATATCAACCATTATATAACTATTAGATAGATAGGTCGAACTCCTCCTGATGCCCGAGATTCAACTGAACATGTTGGATTGGGATACCATGATCTTCCATGAAGGCCTCTGGTGACAAAGCAGGAACTTCGAGGAATGCCAAGTACACAACCGCCATCATCAGAACCTCAGAAAACATGGCAGTATGGCCCATTGTTTGATGTTTCATTACGATGCAATCCTCCTTCTATGGCTTAATGGCGTTTTGGTTAGAATGGCCCAATGGTCCATTGCAAAAAATACCCCACAGAGGGGTAATTTTTTAGCACTTTATTTTACCCAATGTCCTGAAGATATGGCTGAGAAACCTTGGGCGCCTTTAGGATCAGAAGTCTTTTCAAGACTTTCTTCAGCTCATCTACAGGCAAGGCCGGCATGGCGTTGTTGCAGGGCTGCCTTTGGCTTGGAGTAACTTGGATCCAAAATCCCAACTGAATCCGAAGAAGTGGTTGCAACTTCCGCTTCCGACATGAAACCTATGTCACATATGTCCAGTTCTGTTCTGTTGACTGATTTTCAAAAGTCACTTAACATCTTGAAATGTCCCAAGCCGCAAGTCAGCAGTCAGCAAGGCTGTGGGGGAATTGCACGGAAAGATTTCTTGGGGCACCGGTGCCGAACCCGCCAGGATGCACTCATTCACCTGTCATGGGATTTTCTGCAGAGGCTGGAGTGTGCAACCAAAAAAAATACTGTGGGTTGGTTGGGGCTTTGGGGATGTCACCATATTCACATTTTAGATTCATCAGTATATACCATATTCTCATTGATGAACCCATGACGGAGCCAACACTCTCTAGGCTAACCAGCCTGCAGCAAACCCTTTCCATTTCAGGAACAATTTTGCGCAGTGGTTGGGGTCAGGAATTACTGCCCAGACCACCGAATCAAATTTTGTCATCTGACACAGTTTGTCATGCCGTGATTTTCAGGCACACGGGTGGCACACTTCGAGATCAAAAACTGATGATTTGTTGAACTGTAGTGGGCCCGACACATGTATATAATGTTTGATGGTGTGGACATCTTGCCCATGGCCTGTATCACGCAGTACCCCAAGACAAGGATTACCCTGCCCTCACAAAATGGCTCAAGTTTCATCTCACCGCCCATGAACAGGTCGAGTGTTCCTGAGCGCGGGATGCACGAGGACTGGGCAAGATGAAGGGAACTGAAAATACAAACATGTCGAGGTTGAGACTGCAAACCAGGGCTGCAAGCTGACATAAATGACAAATTCAAACTTAGTTTATAGCTAAGAATCCCTGGACACCCGTTCCACTGACTTTGCACGGTACACATAGTTTGACGGTCTACGTTCCCTAGCACTTGTTGGACTTGCGGGACTTGCGCTTCTTGCTGGGTTTGCTTAAAGTTGGAGCGATGGGCTCTGCCAATGCCTCTTCTTGGTTCTCAGCTTGATCCTGCTGTGCTGCGATCTCTGCCACTTGCTCTTGACGTTGGGCCTCTGCATTCTTCCCCTTAAATTTGGGATTTCGGCAGTGGTGACAGCCATTGTAGATGAAGCGGCAAGATCGGCAGCCGTACTTTTGATTTTCCAAAACCTGATGCGCCCACTTCTTACCTGTTCCAATCCTGGGCTGAAAGACATGTTCAATTTCATGCTCTGACTTTGCTGTGGCCTTTCGGCGTGCTCGCTTAGCTGGTGGGTGGGCTGTATCAGGTGTTGTCTCACCATCCTCCGGAATTGTTTGGTTGCTCTTGGCTTTGCCCCTAGTCAACTTCTTTGGAGTGGCTGCTTTCTTTGGGCTGGCTGCTTTCAAAATGGATCGCTTGCTGTGTTTTTTTCTGAGTTTGCCCCCCTGCTTGCTCTTCTTCCCTGAGCCCTTCTTCCTTCCCCGTTTCACGTTCTTGCGCTTCTCGGTGCGCATCTCAGCCTGCATTGCCGGCGTGATCTCAGCAAGTGGAGCTTCAACCTCCAAGGAACACATTCTTGGATATGAAACCCTTTGGGTGTTTGTGAAATATCATTGATGATGCTTAGGATGCTTGCTGGTTTTTTGACTGGGATGTCAAAGAATTATAATTATAAGTGAACAAATCGGAAATGAACTCTAGCCTTGTCTGGGGTTTCCTCCAACAGCTTCTTCGGTTGCAAAGGGCTCGGAGTCACCACAATAGGCTCTTCATCCATTGGCAAAGTGTCCAACTGCAAGGAAGGAGTGACAATCATTAAATGTGGAAGGGGGCAATATGAATCAGAAGTGTTGGGATTGATCATCAACTCAGCCTCAACCACGCACCGAAGCCTGCGAAGGATCAGGGACAGGTGGCTTGGGCTGCGGAGGTGGCAGCGCGAGAAGTGCCCCACCAGGACCTCTGACATGGAAACCGGTGTTGGATGGTGTTGGGGTGGGCCATACAGGTTACTGACCAATCTTGGGCATTTTTAAAAAATAAAACAGCTTTTCTGACATCGACCGGTCTATTGCGATGACATGTAAACCAATGCCAAAGAACAGGGGGTAGTGCTTGCAGCGGATGTCGGTGAAGCCGAAGGCCTCATGAATGTGTATAATATAGTTGTATGCTGGGGAAAGCCCATGCAAATGCGTGTGCAAACTTAAACAAAACCCCAAACTGAGGAAAGCACGTAGATTTGCACTCAAACTTATCGATGGTCTTCAAAAGCTCAAGAAGTTCCAATTGTTGGTCGGGAGTCATGGTTCCAACAAACCCTAAGTCTCTCAGCTCACCCTCCAACTCAACCGGGGACTTGCCACCAGCAGGGGATGGAGTGGAATCAGGTTTGGATTCCACAGGTGGGGCATTTGAATCCACATGGGGCTCCTCGCAAGAAGACCCAGGCAAAGGGACGTAGGCATCGTCATCATCATCGCCAGCCCCAAGCGATCCACCTGGTGACTCATCCTCCTGCAAAGCCTGGACAACCGTCCGATACTCCCCAATCTTCTTGAAGAGCTCCCTGACTTTGAGGTCCTAGCAAGGGCTCGAAACCCTTAAGCCTTAATTCACATGTGCTTTTTGTTTAGTATGTATCTATCTCTATCGATCTATCTTTATATCTAGTCTACCTAACTACATTTATATCTAACAGTCTAACTATATCTATCTATCAACCTATACCTATCTATATCTATCCCTCTATCCCTCTGTCCCTCTATCCCTCTCCTATATCCCTATCTCTATCTCCATTCCTATCTATCTCTATCTCTACCTACCAATCAATCAGTTTCTATCAGCCAAACTGATATTTTCAAACCCCTGGTCCCGAGGAAGCTGCTTCCTCTTCTCTGCATCCAGCTGCCGCCTCCACGCATAAGTGTACAGTCTCCTGAGGTCCCAAGAATCCACATAGGAGTCATGCGTGATGTTGGATGAGTCGAACTTCACCAAGCGGTACAGGGACTTCACCTGCAAAATGATTGTGAAATTGTTCGTCACTAAGCTGGTGCACGTTCGGCTTTGCAAGGCAACCTCCCAATATGATTCACTATATCAATTCAATGTGTGATGTTGGGAAATATTAGCCTCATTCTGCAGCGCTGGAATTTCCACGAAGCCACCATTAGCCCAATCAAGAAGCCCAAGTAGTGCATCCGCATTCAATTCCAAGCTTTTGGTGCAAACAGGATGCTTTTCTACCTTTGGTTCTTCACCTTCTTCCAAGGTAGCATCACAAACAGAATTTGGCCATTGAAGCCAACTCATGCCCCTACGGAAACAGGACCGGATGATGGAAGAGCATTCCAACTGACTAGCAAGGTCAGCAGCAGCCATGTGGGCACACCACACAAAAGCCAGCTAGCTGCTAGCCCCACAAAAAGGCAATGAGCAAAAGATGGGCTATGTGCTGATCGGCTTGAGTGAATGCACTCACCCCCATCCAACATAGTTGTAGAATGTTTCCAGTACCATGTCAGATTTCTCTTCAATGCTTTGATTCCTGACATGTCCCAGATCCAATCCCAACCCTGCAGGACACAAACAAAATTGCCGGCGAGACAGAGACAGAGGAGTGCACGAAGAAGCTTGGTGCAGGAGCCGATCCTGATTCCAGTGGAGGGTGTCAGGGTGCCCTGGGGATATTCTGGGGATATACGGGGCATCCCCTGGATAGAAATGTGCCACGGTGTAATGGTGTGAATTTATACCCGCTATAGTTGAACATAAATATGCAGCATCATGATGCTGGTTGCTGCCTAGGTTCCATCCAGAGGCTGCTGATTGCATACGGAATTTTCCAAATCTCCTGCAAGACTGCAAGAAAGAGTTTGGCTGGGCACTGGGCTCCTGAGACTTCCTAAAGGCTAACGCATGACCAAGAAAATGTGTGAGCTCCCTAAGAAAAATCAATGACAGTGGGTATAGCATGTGTATCAAGGTTTGGCAACTGCATGGGCCAGGCACCACCCCCCTCAGATCACAAGCTGGCTCCTGTGCCGGCCAAGGAAAGATCTCCGTGCATTGAAGCAACGCTCGGCTGGGCAAATGGAACACTGAAGTATCACAAAGTGAAGTATCTTAGATGTGTCAAACAACTAAAAGTGTAACACTGAATGGCTTGGATATATATCATGGGTGTTCTTAGGGTTTGCTGCTGTTGATGCTTCTTCTGGAGTGTTCTTTAGATATGGCTCCCATTGACAGCATCGATCCAAAGCTGGTCAAAAAAGAGAGGCAGGCCAGCATCAGAGCTGAGAGGGTGTGGAAAATAGGAAAGTGTACTAAAATCCTTCGAAGTTCACGGTTTTTTTTTGGATTTGATCAAAGTGGTAACTATTATAAGCAACTGCTGAAAGTGCACTAAAATAAGTGCACACTGTGGGGTTACAGGTAGGTGGTTTATCCCACTATTTATAGGGTTTCAACGTGTTTCAACCATCCTTTTGGTGGTGCAGGATTTCGCAACCATCCACAGTATGAAAACACCTCCGATTTTGAAGGTCCTACTCTCCGATTCCTCCTGCCTAAACCTGAGCCCCAGGCCTTCGAAAGGGGAAACTCTGCTGCGGCGTGGGCTCCTAGTGACAGGTCACAGGTAACTTTTTCCTCCAGCCTGGGAATGCCTGGGAGGATACAACCCTTGCTGACATGGAAAAGAATAACATGACTGACATGACTTATCAATGGGATATATATATAAAACATATATTATATATAATATTATAATATATATAATATTATTATTGTTATTATTATTATTAGTATTATTATTATTACTATTATTATTATTCTTCTTATTATTATTATATATTATTATCATTATTATCATTATTATATATATATATATATTATATATTATATTATATATATATATTATATATATATTATATATTATATATTATATATATTATATATATATATGATATTATATATATGATATATATATATATATATATTATATTATATATATTATATTATATATATATTATATATATATATCATATATATGTATGTATATCATATTATATATATATATATATATATCATATTATATATATATCATTATATATATATATCAGCTTTTAGATGTTCATAAAACTCAATCAGCACCAGACCGTTTCCTGCGATCTTCTCCGAGTCTTTGGTGGGACAAGTCTTCGGCTGATTTTTGCTGTACACTGTACCATCCTAGAACTATGACACTGCGCCTGAATGGGAGGCCTGCGGAGGGCAGTTCCAACTGTACTCGAGAAATGCAGAGGCCCTCTGGTGAGCATTTTGAGGTATGCGATTGAATCAAGATATCTTTAAATATCTTAAAAATTCTCAAGCTATGTCCGTGGTATATCCCAGATGTTTCTTCACTGCGGTGATCCTCTGCCCCAAAAGGGACAGTGAATTCCATTTGCATTCTTGTCTCAACATGATTGATATGGATTAACCCCCAGCCATCGCAACTGGATTCTGATCAATTTCTATGGGACTTTTCAGGCTTTCTGCCTAAAAATGTCAGGTACCAGAGGCTTAGAGTTTGGGCCTGGCGACCGGAACTCCCTCAGGGTCGTTGCTCCGCGCCGTGCTTGCGACGTGCGTCCGCTTCGGCCGTTCCGTCAGGGTCAGTTTGGTGGTCAGCTTCTCTACACGGCGCTGGCGGCGAAGAAACGTGACCTGTGGAAAGGTGGCCGAAATCGGAAGGGTGAGATGGTTGGTGGTTGAGCCATCTTTTCAACTCAAATATCTATGAATTATACATAATTTTACATAAATTATATTGTAATAAAGGTATATATAAATTATGCTATATGATATGCACAGTGTACTGAAAAAGTTATATGATTCATTGGCTTGGGATCATCCCGGGTAATTATACGCGCAAACACCCCATGTCACCCACATCCTTCTTGACTTGGGAAGATCATGGAAGATCAACAAAGGTAGTAGGGAATATAAAAGTCCCACCCGCGGTAAATTTTTACATTCATTTGGGAAGATTAACAAAGGAATTAGGGAATATAAAGTCTCAGCTACATGCAACAATCATGCAAAAACCACAAGAAACAGCAATAATCTGTCTAATGGAGATACAAGACTTTATTTGAATTGAAATCAACATATTATGACACGGATGCTATCCAGTCATATCCCAAGTTCATCTCCATATTTTAGCAGGTGGAATTCAACTTTTTCATGGTCACTCTCCAGTATATAAATCACTGCAACAAATTGCAAACCCACCATTTCCAGATCATTTTCCGCACGGAAAACCATTGGTTTTCCATAACTATATATATATATGTTATTATATGTTCATTTGCTGGAAGGTAAATCACAATTTTGGCTAGGTAAATCAACCAGGATTTGCAGATCTTTCCTAGTTGAATCGTTGTGACCTAGGCTGACTCACCATGATTTTTCGGGCATTTCATGGTCCAATCAACGGGCCTCCACCGTCTCGCCAATACCTTTGTCATCCACCAGTGCCGCGATATCATCAGAGGATTTCACCTCCTGGAAATGCCATCCGTTGGGGCTATTCGGGCCATTCGGGCCATATTCAAGTACCAAAGCCCAAAAAGATGAAACTGCTTCTGAAGCTCCCCCTATCAGACTATCATATCGCATCAAATCCCCAAAAAATTGGCTTTTCTTGCCAATTCTTGTTGAGAAATGTGCCCATCCCCCCAGATCCCCCAGTCCTTCCCATCCACCGCCAGAATCTCATCGCCCAGTAGGATCCCCTGTTGGCTTTGAAGGGTAGGCCTCAGCCCTGCAAGCTCTGCAGGGCTGCCAGGCTCAACATTGAGCACCTGCATGGATCAAGGATGAAACACTTTGAAACGTTGGGACGGCACATCTCATCTTGATATTTCCTTGCCCAAGCAGTTCCACTTCAACCAAAAAGTTTTTAGTTGTCAACTGCGATCTTCAGCATTCAAACTCACAATGAATTCCCAACGATTTCGCCAGCACAAAACTGTCACAAGATATTTCAATACTATAGTTACTAGATCCATATAAGTCCTCTATCCATGACAATTGTTTCCAACTAAACTGGGTGTAACATCCATGCATCAACCAACCATGGTTTAACCAGCCGCGGCACGAGTGCCCCTTGGATCCGTGGCATGCCCTGTCGCTCCAGAGATCTGGAAAGTTTCTCTGTCCACTGATCCATGCTCAAGTAGATCCCCATCCAAGCATGCTTGGCGTGGCCGTACTTGATGATTTGTCTCAGAAAAGTTGATGAAAAGCCATGGCAGCCATGAATTTAGTGTAACAATGTGTAACATACTGTAACCAGGCCTTGGAGCAGTTCGGCAGTTGCGGCGAATGTCTGTTTGTTGCTTGTGGTCGAGGGACATCAAGAGAGTTTTGTGATGTTCGATTTATAGATTATGATTTATATATATTATATTGTATACATATATACATATATATACATATGATTATATATAGATTATGATTTATATAGATCATTTATATCTTTATATAAATTATATATATATGATTATAGATGTTGTTCCCATTCAAACCTCCATTTCCTTCACGGATTTCGCCCCATCTTTCCAGGGGACGTCACGATTCGGTTCACCGTATCCGATGGAATGGCAAAGCCAACTCCAGCGAAGGCACCAGAGGGGCTCGCAATCATAGTGTTCACACCTTACTCGCAATCATGGCTGGATTGTCAGTGGTGTAAGTGCATATCATCAATATATATATATATATAATCAATAAGATACAACATGATTTGAGTACATGGTTGATTGTCAATATTGATTTCTGCCATTCTCTAAAGAACATGAATATGTTACAGCCTTCTTTACTGTAGCTTAGATTAACATGCGTTGCGCATTTCACAAACCTATGGAAACCGCATTCGCTCTTGACACTAAACGTCATGATGCAGGTGCATATCTGAGATTGTTCCCGCATTTCCGCATTTGCTAGAGCTAACCATGAAAAAACTGAGATGATATGCATGGCGACCCAATGACCGATGAGATGATGTTACCGAAGGAAAAAACCAAATCAAGAAGAATAACAATGCGATGAATAATAACAATGACTATACTATAATATCATATGATAATGAGGAAGAGCAGGGTATGTATGGCCCTCATGAAAAGGCTGGGAGTACTTTTTTTTGTGCCCATGTTTTTCATTGTTTACATCCATAGATCACCACATGTGATCACATATCGTTCTGTATCATCATGTGCTATAATCTATATCTCTCTATATATAATTAAGTATATTATAAGTTATCTATGTACTATACATGTTCTCATTTCATCATCATAACACGATATAGTGCCACGATTTGCCATGTATCATTGATCATCATTTGTCAGGTCACAAATCATCATTTTTCTCATCGCGTCTTATCATGTCATAGAATCATTTCATGCTTCACCTTATAATATACATAATATAAGTTCGTTTGAGAATTAGGTATCCCCAAAATTTAATCGTGAATCATCATGTTTCCCATTAAATGGCCAATCTGGAGAGTCACTACGAGAGTCACTACTACTGGCATAAGCTATTTCCAGGTACCAAACTCGTACAAAAATCAACACAATACACCCATCCCATCCCACTCCACTGGTCGATTTAACTATCGTTATCCGATAATTCTCTGGCTAATCATATCCCCTCAGAAAACCACACAAAAAAGAAAATACCATCTGGTTATTTAACATAGCCATGGAAAATGACCCATTTATAGATGGTTTGCCTATTAAAAATGGTGATTTTCCATGGCTATGTTAAATAACCAGATGGTACTTCCTGGCTCCTGGCTCAAAAAAAACCATGGCGCCTATGAATCGTCCCCGGGCATCAAGTAACGGTCCACCGCTGTTGCCAGGGTTGATGGCTGCATCTGTCTGCACCAGACCGCGCATCATGCGTCCGGTGACGCCGCGCATCTCGCGACCCAAGCCACCTACGAGGGAAACGGGGGAGCCGGGGGGAAGGTGGTGTGGCTGTGGTAATATTATATTATATCTTATATTATACATTATATTGCATTCATTATGCTATATCATATCATATCATATTATATTATATTGTATTATATATATTATGCTATGTATATATGTATATATTCATCATACTACATTAAGATTGTCTATATGTGTGTATGTGTATATGTCTTTGGCCACCTGGCCACCTTGTCACCCCGGACACACTAAATGGCTGGGTTTATTTCCCCATTTTGTTCTATGACTTTCCCATTGAATTTTTAGAGGACAAAGATATATATATATATATGTTAGTATCTTTGAATATCTTCAAATATTCAATGGGAAGGATTATCCCATATATGACATGGAAAATAAAAAAATGTTCCAAACCACCAACCAGTCTTGAAATATTTAACATGCCCATGTTTAGCTTAAAGATCCTTAAATAATCTTAAAGGACCTTTACTTTCCAGCTTTGAACCAACAAATGCACGCCCGGCTTCCTTGGATTCCTTGGCCGAGTCACTGATGATACCGTTGGTTAGAGTTTGATCTAAACCAAATGGATTTCCAATGGCAAAGACCTTCTGACCAACCTGCGCTGGGCCGGAAAAAAAGTGCGAAAGCTGGGCATGCTGGGCATGCTGTGAACACCCGACCCCGCTTTCGTTGGTAAATTGATGTACAAAACATGGTATTGCAACGTTTGAAGAATCTTCTCCAAATAAGTGGTGTCAACATAGTTCATGTAGTGTGGTAAATCCACTCGTAAATCCAATCATAAATCTAATTATAAACCATCCCCAATGACTCACAAGAATTGGGTTTTGAACGACAAACCATCCCCAACCTCACCAGAAATTGCTTAGAAGTTGCCAACCATGATGGTCAACATTGGTAAACCCTAAACCCTAAACCCAAGGTTTTACACACATTACCCTAGACTAAGCTGAGATATGGGAAATTATATCCGAGGGAACCATCGCTAAAAACCTTATCTGCTGCGTGCCTGAAACATGTTTCAAAAAATGGGGTTTACAACGTCAAACGTACGTACGCCAAAAAACATGGTGTTTAAAACATCAAAATTTACGTAAACAAAAGAAAATATTCGGGTTTACAACGTCAAATGTTACAACAAAATGGGTTTAAAACGTCAAAAAATTACGTCTACAACTTCAACATTTATGTAAAAAACCAAATGCTTTGACAATGTCAAAATTTACGTTAAAAAAATGGGGGTTGCGACGTCAACAACAACGTCAACCAGAGCCAGAAACCTCAGCTGAAACACCCAGGGCCGTTTGTAGAGGAAGGTGCCTGATCCAATATATATACCCATAAAATCCCATAAACTTGCCATCTGAATAGAATATAATCTAGGGGTACCCGCGGGTACTGTATCTTCAAACAAACACAATACAAACACATACTGGTAGCAACCGCAAAATATCGAAAAGTAAAATCCAGTCCAATAATAGTGGTCAATTGAACCTGTTCTGCATCTTTTTGGGGACTTACTGTTGGTTTACCCAACTCCTAGCGAAATAACAATAAATCACACGAGTTACTGTTGGTTTACCTAATTCCTACCGAAGAAAATAGTAAATCATATGTTTTTTCCTTTTTTACTTTCAGAATTATGTGAGGTTTACCATAAGTTTCCTCCATACATCGGGCATCGGGCGGCCTGCAGCTTGCTGGAAGTCCCGGGCTCCAGTGCTGGGACTTTGGGTCGATCGTTGCATTTGAGCACCGCCAGGTCGCCTGGGCCGGATGGAAATAGGCTGACAAAAAGGTCACAGGGGCTATATGTTATATATTATATATATATTAGTTTGCTGATATAAGATACCAAGTATCAAGAAATATCTGTTGACACGCGTTTTTTTACAGTATGCATGCTTGTAGTATACGATATTATATATGATGTATGACCACATTGTATATGAGAACATACTGATTCAAAACAACCATGGTCATGTCTTGTATTGGGCACGACTTGGCCATACATCTGGATGCAGTCCATATGGGCTTGTCCAAGAATAAGCTAACCCCCATAACCCCAAATCGAGAGTAAGTCCCTACCTGAATCCAATGGTGTGCAGCTACGTGGCAGTCAGGTTCAGCACCTACCAGTAGTGCTTCACGCACAGAATGGTCTGCAAAGGTAACTGTGGCTCGATCAGCGTCCTATCGGACTATTGGTAAGAAGGGAAACGAAGACTGAGGTTTTGGGCTTGGGTTGCTCTATCAAAAGTGATGAAAAAAGACAACCACCTGCCGTGGTTTTGATGGTTTTATCGACTATGTATGTATGCTGCATATTATATACAGATAAATAAGTCTGATAGGGAACAATAGTGATAAAACTCCACTATCCAAAATCTTGAATAGTCTTACACTGCTGAAACCACTGAACTGTCCCTCTCCTTGATGACGTGGTAGTTTGTGACAATATGCTCCTGGCGTGACAGGAGCTGGCTGGGTTTGTCCAAAAAAAATCCAAAAAGGCAAGCCGTACACCAAAAATCCAGATCAAATCATTCATTCTCCCAGTGAAAATGGATGAACATGTAACATGGATGAAAATGACCGTACCATGGGGGTACCCAAATGGGATTTGTGGAGAAGTTGTGCTGAAAAACTCTTCGGAGAAAAAGTTACTCTCCTTGTCCCAAAGAAAGCCACTCCCTGTACCCTGAGGAATCTCTTGTAGATCCACAGAAAGGCCCCAGGTGCCACGGATCAGGGCTTTCTGGTTGGCCTTGGCAAAGCCAATGGCCTTGCAATTTTCACATCCCCGGGCCCCAATAATAAGCCATTCCCAAAAATACACCAATTCCCAATTGGGGTTTATTATGGGGAAAAATTAGAGTAGCCACCAAAAGGCTGGTGAATGGGACGGTTTATTCTTCGGCTTATCACCCTAGGGGCTGATCTACCGCTTTTAACTAGAGCTATTCCTACAAGAAGCACCTTACAATTTACAACATGTGTAACATCTGGTACATGTCAACGTAGACGAGTTTACATCTCCATTTCCAACAGGTATGGCCTATGGCCATCCAAGTTATCTAATCCCGTTGACTACAAACCTCCCTTTCAACTTCAACTACGTACATTTATGTACATTTGGTAGCCCATCAAATTGCTTTTGCCCAGGCACGAAAGTGTTGATGTGCACCACTGAGCCACTGCATTGCTTGAAGAGTTCCACAGTCCTCCTCTCTTCCTCCGTCAGTTCCGTGTCATCCGCCCGCACGAAGCCACGCTTCGGCGCCAGCATGGCGCTGGCGCCGGTGGCCAAGGTGATCCCCAAGGTGCGGCCCAGGGGCCGACAAAAGCGGCGCCCCAGCGGCCAAGCGAAATAGGCGAAGTTCATTGGTGAAATTACGAATGGGTCACGTTGAAAAGTGACTTAAAGTGAAGGTTGAACATGAAAGTCCGAAGAAAAACGTTTTCTACAATTGCATGCTCAGAATTTTTCTAAACCTGTTTCTTTGTTCAAGTAGTTGCAACTACTATGACTATGATTCATGTAGCTACTTAATGCTGTTTGGGTGCAGGGAGAGTTGCAAATGAATTATGCATGGGGGACATTGAAGGACCCCTGTTGTGTCTTCTCATGTGCAACCATTCGACCCTCGTGTTCGGATCATGGTTCAGTTTCATGACCAAATGCTCACATTACGCCTCTTGCAATATGTGGTCCAGTTTCATTGGCTGCAAAGCAATGAGCCAAAAAAATCACGTGCCCTTCATCTCCTACAAGTTCTCCAAAATCATACTCAAAATCATTCCCATATGCTCCATGTATGAAATATTTGCTAACATTTGCCCTAAAAATCACCCAAATGTAGGTAAATATATATATATATATATAGACGCAACGCCCACCATTTGCTCCCCAGTTTACATGGGGTAGGATGGGATGGGGTGGAATGGAGTGGGGTGGGGATGTTAACGCTCAATCGACCATGTTCCCTCGACCATGCACAAGATGTTGATGCTACGCTCACATGGGGTGGGGTGGGGTGGGGTGGGGATGTTAACGTTCCTTCGACCACGTTCCCTCGACCTTGCGCAAGATATTGATGCTACGCTCACGTGGGGTGGGGTGGGGATGTTATAACGTTCCTTCCACCACGTTCCCTCGACCTTGACCAAGATGCTGATGCTACGTACACATGGGGTGGGGTGTGGTGGGTGGAGATGTTAACGTTCCTTCGACCATGTTCCCTTGACCTTGCACAAGATGTTGATGCTACCCTCACATGGGGTGGGGTGGGGATGTTATAACGTTAGAACGTTCCTTCGACCACGTTCCCTCGACCTTTCGCAAGATGTTGATGCTACGCTCACATGGGGTGGGGTTGGGTGGGATGTTAACGTGTCTTCGACCACATTCCCTCGACCTTTCGCAAGATGTTGATGCTACGCTCACATGGGGTGGGGTTGGGTGGGATGTTAACGTTCCTTCGACCACGTTCCCGACCTTTCGCAAGATGGCTGCTACGCTCACATGGGGTGGGTTTGGGTGGGATGATACTGTAACGTTCCTTCGACCACGTTCCACCTTTCACAAGATCTTGATGCTACGCTCACATGGGGTGGGGTGGGGCGATGGTAACGCCCATTTGATGCTGCGCCCAAGATGATCTAATTATCATGGTTTAAGGTGGGGTGGGGTGGGTGCATTTGCAGCAATTTGCTAGGATTCTGTTAGAGCTGTTCGTTCTAACAAGATTGCTAGAACTGTGCATTTTGCAACGGTTTGTTACAGTAGGATTCTGTTTGAACTTTTAAAGCAACCAAAAGTGCTGGAAATGTGCATTTTGAACCAATGTTCAAGGATTCTGTTAGAAGACGACGATAATCATACCAATGATGTTGTTGATGATGATGATGATGATGATGTTGGTAATAATGATAATGATGATAATGATCCCGTCGAACTCTTCCAGAAGCGGGGCAAATGGTGGGAGTTGACCGATTGATCCCGCTCCGGCGACGCTTGTGAGGAAACATCGCTAGGTGAAGCCATGCTCCGCCTCAGCCCGGAGCAAAGGGTGCTGTATCGAAAGAGTAGTTCATTGGGTTAAACCGAAAAAACACGGAAAACATGGGAAAAACATGGGGAAAGCCATGTCACTAGAGGATCAAGAAATCGCAAATCATTCTGTATGAAACAAAATGGAACAAACAATCCAAATATTCAAATACAAATGGGCCAAACAATCCAAATACAATCCAAACATATCCCCCAACTCCAGGATTTCATATGATTTCATGAGGTTTCCAGGATTTTCCAGGCTGATTCCGTGGCTCAGGCCGCAGAGATTCGCTCACCTTGGCCCCCCAGTGAAACATGACATGATGAAATACGATGAAATACAATGAACCTATGAACGATAAAATCTGAAATACAAAATATAATATATAAAATATAGTATATAATATAATATAATATATATATATAATAAAATACTATAAAATAACAATAATAACAATAATATATATATATATATATTATAAAATCTTAAAAAATAATATGTATATATATACATATATATATATACATATACTAAAATATTATATAATAATATATATATATATGTATAATAAATAGTATAATCTATGTATATATATATACATAAGATATATAATAAACAATAGAATGTATATACATAATAAAGATATAATCTAATATATATAATATACAATATAAAATTAAAATATATATATATATATACAATAGAATATATATATAATATAATATATATAATATAATATATATATAATATAATATATATAATATAATATATATAATATATATAATGTAATATATAATATATACTTCAGGAGGAACAAAGTTTATGGTTCTTGAAAGCTTTACAAAACACCCATTTCGGTCAACCACGGATCACATTTTCAAGTCCGTTTTGTGTGGCAGGTGTGGGACGGTCAATTATCACCCTCTTTTAAATATATAAGATTTTAAAGCTTTTGGAGGGTGGAAATGCGACCGGGGTACGACAAAGCTCCATGCTAGGATTCTACGGGGAAAGGGTGTGCAGAAGAAGAAACCAACCATGTTCACTGTGGGAAGCTCAACAAGCGCAACTTTTGTCCTACCAGTGCGTCACGGCACATGTGTAGCAGTGCAGACAAAGAGGATGGAGACAGACATGTTATGTGGAGTAATGGCCAAGCTGAAGCAGGTGCAAAAATCAGCAAATGACTTGGCAATTCCCACTAAATAAGCTTTTTGTACCCTGCGTCACGGCACATGTGTAGCAGTGCAGACAAAGAGGATGGAGACAGACATGTTATGTGGAGTAATGACCAAGCTGAAGCAGGTGCAAAAATCAGCAAATGACTTGGCAATTCCCACTAAATAAGCTTTTTGTACCCTGCGTCACGGCACATGTGTAGCAGTGCAGACAAAGAGGATGGAGACAGACATGTTATGTGGAGTAATGGCCAAGCTGAAGCAGGTGCAAAAATCAGCAAATAACTTGGCAATTCCCACTAAATAAGCTTTTTGTACCCTGCGTCACGGCACATGTGTAGCAGTGCAGACAAAGAGGATGGAGACAGACATGCTATGTGGAGTAATGGCCAAGCTGAAGCAGGTGCAAAAATCAGCAAATGACTTGGCAATTCCCACTAAATAAGCTTTTTGTACCCTGCGTCACGGCACATGTGTAGCAGTGCAGACAAAGAGGATGGAGACAGACATGTTATGTGGAGTAATGGCCAAGCTGAAGCAGGTGCAAAAATCAGCAAATGACTTGGCAATTCCCACTAAATAAGCTTTTTGTACCCTGCGTCACGGCACATGTGTAGCAGTGCAGACAAAGAGGATGGAGACAGACATGTTATGTGGAGTAATGGCCAAGCTGAAGCAGGTGCAAAAATCAGCAAATGACTTGGCAATTCCCACTAAATAAGCTTTTTGTACCCTTCAGGAGGAACAAAGTTTATGCTTCTTGAAAGCTTTACAAAACATCCATTTCGGTCAACCGCGGATCACATTTTCAAGTCCGTTTTGTGTGGCAGGTGTGGGACGGTCAATTATCACCCTCTTTTAAATATATAAGATTTTAACGCTTTTGGAGGGTGGAAATGCGACCGGGGTACGACAAAGCTCCATGCTAGGATTCTACGGGGAAAGGGTGTGCAGAAGAAGAAACCAACCATGTTCACTGTGGGAAGCTCAACAAGCGCAACTTTTGTCCTACCAGTGCGTCACGGCACATGTGTAGCAGTGCAGACAAAGAGGATGGAGACAGACATGTTATGTGGAGTAATGACCAAGCTGAAGCAGGTGCAAAAATCAGCAAATGACTTTTTGTACCCTGCGTCACGGCACATGTGTAGCAGTGCAGACAAAGAGGATGGAGACAGACATGTTATGTGGAGTAATGACCTAGCTGAAGCAGGTGCAAAAATCAGCAAATGACTTGGCAATTCCCACTAAATAAGCTTTTTGTACCCTGCGTCACGGCACATGTGTAGCAGTGCAGACAAAGAAGATGGAGACAGACATGTTATGTGGAGTAATGGCCAAGCTGAAGCAGGTGCAAAAATCAGCAAATAACTTGGCAATTCCCACTAAATAAGCTTTTTGTACCCTGCGTCACGGCACATGTGTAGCAGTGCAGACAAAGAGGATGGAGACAGACATGCTATGTGGAGTAATGGCCAAGCTGAAGCAGGTGCAAAAATCAGCAAATGACTTGGCAATTCCCACTAAATAAGCTTTTTGTACCCTTCAGGAGGAACAAAGTTTATGCTTCTTGAAAGCTTTACAAAACACCCATTTCGGTCAACCACGGATCACATTTTCAAGTCCGTTTTGTGTGGCAGGTGTGGGACGGTCAATTATCACCCTCTTTTAAATATATAAGATTTTAACGCTTTTGGAGGGTGGAAATGCGACCGGGGTACGGCAAAGCTCCATGCTAGGATTCTACCGGGGAAGGGTGTGCAGAAGAAGAAACCAACCATGTTCACTGTGGGAAGCTCAACAAGCGCAACTTTTGTCCTACCAGTGTATATATAATATATATATATAATATATATATATATATATTATGCAATATATAAAATATGTATTATATATAAAATAATATATATATATATAATATATATATAATAATAATATATATATATATATATTATAATATTGACAAAATATATTATATATAATATATATAATATATAATATATATAATATATAATATATATAATATATATAATGTTTATAATATATAATATAGATAATATATATATATATTATAATATATCATATAGATAATATATATAAAAATATTATAATATATAATATAGATAATATATATAAATATTATAATATAT